GATCAAAAGGTTGACAAAGGGCCAAGGTCCGGTTCATTGAGAGCGTGTTGTTCGCGAAGGTTATGTTTCTTTGTTCAAGTTAGAAATGTAAATATTCCCAGACACTCCATGTATGCCAAATATGCCTTCATTGACCCCCCAAGACCGCCCCAGTGTAGACATACATGGCATACAAGGAGTGTATGGGATTTGTTTTGCGACAGATCTCCAAAAGATATCAAAAGATAGATCGATATGTGGACACAGAATACTTCTATACCCCCCCGGCAAAACTTATATAAATAGGAGTTCGCGAAAGATTCGTTAAAGTAACAGTAATTTTGTCAAAGAATATGGCGCGATCGCACGAAGGGATTTCGATCAACTACCATATCGTACCATCCCACAAGATCCCCGTCACTTGTCCTTCTATAGAATGGCAAAACCTCTTTTCTTATAAAATGATGAAACCGACCCTCATGTCATAAAGATCATTTTGGCGGCCAGAAGCCAAAAAAAATTAAGTGTGTTCCAGAAAAGGTTGATTTGTCATGTTATACTGTAAATCTTGAACGTTTTGTCCCACAAAAGGTTCAAGCATTTTTTGAAATCTCAAATTTGCTTCAAGTCATTTCATATGGAATCCATGTCCCTTGGTAATTTGGCCAATGCAGCAGTTTGCTGTGATGTTGTGGCATTTTACTCTAAAATATAAAAGGTTGGTTTCTCATTTTATCGCAAACTTCTTTGTATTTTTCATTTCATAAAGTAATTTACTATAACATGCAAAACGGCAGACCACTGGGAGTAGTAAGGGGGATCCCACAAGAATACTATGCTGCCGACAAGAAAGGCCGCCCAATGTTGCCAAAATGTGTGTACTTATGATTGCTTATGTGTATGCACTGTTTTTTGGCCCTTATATAAGGCATGTTGACTCCACTGAAGTTTCTCCGTCTCCAGGAGGACTACCATCAGTAGTGATCTCCAAAACCAGTTGGTTCATGTTGGTTCATCTTTTCATGGCCTTTTTCTCAAAGCTGACATAAAGACTCTACATCAAAACGACCTCTTTTGCCTGCTTTTTGGCTACCCCTCCCCACCCCAACCGGTGCTGGGCGGCCGGCCAGAGGTTGGAGCTCTTTCGACGGCCCTACGAAGAACAGCCCATCTTCGAGGCGAAGCTGGGGTCGCGTAGCGTTTTGGGTTCTGCCCGAGTTTTTGGGGCACCGCTGACAGCGCAGCAGACAGCCCCTACTCATAGAGTTGGTGAATTTATAGTAATTTATAGTAGTTTATAGACTCTTGATCAATAAACGCCACATAGTATGAGAGATGATGAGAGATGAAGAGGTTCTACAGTCCAAATGAGGGGGGTTTCATCAATCAAGAGTCTACATTGCTATTGTAATTTGCAACTGCTTGTTGGACTGTACCCGTTCTTGTTGAGAGTTGCTTTCCGCAGGTCAATGATTGAAGGAGCCACAGTTTAGCAGGTATCGTTCCAGCTGACCTTTCTACATGCTTTTGTGTTGCCTAGTTTAGATGTTTTTAGAAACATGTGTTGGCTAAGTAGGCTAAGCCTAGACTTACAATAATTTACAAGATAGAAAATATTGCAATATGTATACAGCTGTTTGAAGTTTGAAGGCCAATGATTTGAGTCGGATACATGTATGTTTCTTCAGAGTATCACCCCGGGAGAACTCAGCTATCTCAGACTTGTCCATCATTGGACGGTAGAGAAACCAATACTCGTGTCCAACCCGCAAGTGAGTATCACAGAATAGGTGCCTTTGTCATTCCAATATTGAACTTTTCTGAACTTGAGAAACTGGTACAGTATAGATATGTCTACTAAGCCATACTAAACCAGAATCAAACGACTATCGCATACTATCACAAAAGATTCCAACTTCACCTTGCTAAAGGTTCAAGAGAGGAGATCCCCCTGAGGGACAATTTTCCTCGATACTCTTTGACATGTTGAGCCGTGAATACATAAGATGGAAACGTGGTCCTTGATACGGGATCTGTGGAAAAAGAGGGTAGAAAAAGACCCCTCGCTTGGGTGTCCAGTCATTTTTGAGGCAAACCTGGGATCATGTGCTTGCTTGTTGAAGGTTATGTGGAGATCAATATGGGGTGTCTCTCCCCAAATCATTGGGGATCCTTCAACCCTCGATTTGATTGTGCGAGCTTTTCAGCACATGTTTCAACCCACACAGGAGGCATATTTCCGGCGAGTTCCTGAGTGGGCAAGATCCAAAGGAGGTCTGGCCTATTTGAGCTGATCCTCATAGGCGGATGACCATGGGTTGCACAAAGTATCACAAAGTATTTGCACAAGGTGTGACGAACGAGATGATGAGGAATCTGTAGGGGGCCCCGAAATTCAGGATTTCAGTGGCTGCCAAAAAGTGGCTGCAAACTCATGTTTGGGAACTCTTTGATCCACCAGGATCCACTAAGTATCCGCTTGTCGTTGGATCCGTGCAACCCTGGTCGGAGTCGCTGACCACTGCGTCTATTGCTATAGGTGAGTTGTTGGTCGCCGATGGCCGCGGTTGTGAAGCGCACGGCTGCCAGCCTAGTTGGTGTAGTTTTGGCAATATATTCATGAATGTTTGTTGGCAATACATGGAGTGCAAGGTTTTGACTCGAAGAATGGGTTTTGCAATGGGTTTTGCTTAGAAACGAGTCTTCCAAGGTTTTTGCAGTTCTTAGGCTTGAAGTACTGCATAATATAGTACTGCCTTCCAATTCAGCTTCACAGCGCTCAATCCTGAAACGGACCTGGACCAGCTACCTTCACCTCCCAAGCGGGCTTCGGCTGCGGCGGCATGTGTGAGCCGTCCCCGAATGACGCGAGCTGGGGAGACTTACCACGGTGAGGCTTTCGCAAGCAACCCATGGATTTGTCGAAGACCTCCAGAAGATTCATGCGAGACCGGCGATGGGATGGGAAAATTTCAGCAACGGAGCGGAGCTGCAAGTTGTGCAGCCTGCGAATGGTAGTACGGTAGATTGGGCACATCTCAAAATCAACAGAAGATCATGGATGTACCAAATGGCATGCCCCCAGTTCTCCACTGAAAGTCTCATCTTGCTCGCTGAAAGTCGGGACGCCACCACATCCGCCCTTTACTTCTGTGTCAGGTGAATGGCCGACAAAGTCTCGGTCAATAGCAAAGCATTCGTGTGGCCCCGGGAAGCACAGAAGTCCACAGAGGAGCTAATCCCCATTCCGGGTGGCATGACATCACATGACTATGACTCATTGACTCAAATTGACTCAGGACTCAGGACGTCGGCGACTAACAGATGCCAATGTCATGCCAACAACAAAATGCCCATCTTCGCGATATTGATGGAAGACATCTCGTTCGTCGTACGGGATCTCCGCGGATCTCTGTGGACAAGCTGTGCATGTGACGAATCTTGTTTGATGCCTAAACGTGTCGACTGGGCTTGCCATGGCGGGAGCTGGATGTGAACCAGGCGCGGGGGTAGTCCGACGGAACTTGGGCCCAAGGGTAGAAGCTGTCACATACAATGCCCTTCACCTTCACATGGAAAGTTAGTTTTCCGCAAACATTCTGGCAAGTTTCTCTAGCGATCTTTACTGTAGAATGCCGTTTAAAGCCACGTGTTTGCGTCGTTGACATTCATCTAGTTTGGGCAGTCCATCTAGTTCAGGTCTTATGAGGACTGCCCTTCTTCGTCCTGTCTCACGATCTCGTTTGGGGTCACGATTCGTCCCGATTGGATCACGGAATCGCTCGAGCTGATGAGAAACATCAAAAGCGACTCCGATGTCTTGTCACATTTCCACAGATTTGATGATTGATCATCAATCTGTGGGATGACAAGTGGTTTGAAGATGTTTGAACACAGGTTTTAACATGATGGCGGCCACGATAAGAATTGCTCTTCTCATGAACTATACAGGTGGCGTTTGGTTTCTTCCATCTACCACGGATTGGTCCAACCCCCTGATAATGAAGTTAAGTTGTATAATAGGTTTGTCCTTTTACAGGGAGCTTCCAGTATCACTCATTGGTACTTAAAACTGTGACCAGACCAATGAGAAGGTGTGTGAGTTGTTTATGGATAATAAACCTGCAACCCCGATGTAGCAGCGGCTCAATGGCGTGGCATCTCAAGAGGTTAATCTCTCTCAACCATTGGAACCCTCAACCGGTTTCACGACGTCCTAACGCTGGCAGTACGTATGAACCATACCTGGACAGCACGTTGCTTCATGCACAGTGCGTATGGTCCGCCTATGATTCACGTAGAGACTATAGCACTAAGATGCACTATGCCAAGCTCCCAACGATGACCCTGACACGACCCGTCTGGGAATGCCGCCCCAGACAGACCTCCCTGGCACCACCCCTGGCCGTTTCGAAGGCAGTCCGCAGTCCCAGACGGGTCGTGTCTTGATCATCTCAGGTGAACGACCTGCGGGGCCGCCGGGACCCGCTCGCCGAGAGCGAGGCCGAGAGCGAGAGCTCGCCAGGCCGGTCTCGACCGGACTTTGGGAACTCTCACCCGGATTTTCGGTGACGGCATCAGATGTCGTTGTCCTTAGATTCCGTGGTTTAACATCGATGATGGTAGATGGTACTGCCCCCCCCAGTTATAGTGAGTGAAAAAGGTTCATCAGGCTTGCCAGATGTGATCACTGTCCGCAAGTTGTGTCTGGCAAAGAGAGGGGTCTGAATTTCCCTGCCGCGAACTGCAGAGTTCGTGACTGGTTTTGGGGCAGTCTGACTGCAGTCGCTGGGCTTAGCTGGATGTTGTTTTGACCAGAGCATTTGGTCTCCGAGCAGGCAAAGGCATGACATGGGGACCTGCCATGAAATCACTTTGCACGTGTCATACAGTAATTTTGTCAAGAATAGCAGCCCCTAAACTGGATCAACATGCCTTGAAAGGCCCCGAACTGGCGTGCATCTCTCTTGGGTTTTTGTTCAGATCAGCTGATGAACTTGGCACCGTCGCATCCTGTGGCCATGGCTCTTCTCATCGCCGCGGCTTTTCTGATTGCCCCTGCCTTTGCGAGCTGGTCGACCACCAGCTTCCCAGCACCAAATGATGCGAGTCGTAACATGACTCTTGGAATAAACCTGCAATGCAGGTCTCAATCCTGATTATATGCTTCAAGTTTTGACGCATCGTTGTCTTCGATCGTGTTTTGGTTGGATCGCATGGGAAAACATGATCGTTTGTTCTCCATCAGTCCAAACAGGTCGAGAGACCTAACACTAAAAAGAAGAAAAACACTATTTATCAATCCCTGTTGCCATTTCCCCTATGAAATGGGAGGGATCAGGCCCTGTATTAAAAACAACAAAATGTAGTAAAATATGTTGTTGGCTTGCCGAAGCCATTTTGTAGAGCCCATTTTGTAGCAAAAAGCGTGCTTCTGGAACCTGGGCACCCATAACAATCATGGACTGTCATGGAGCCTGGAACCTCATTCTGTATAGTAAAATCTGGTCACTTCTTGGTGGTGTATCTTGCAACCCAGGAACTCATTTTGTAGGGGAGAACGTGGCTTAGTTTACAGTTGCCATTTGGCTCAACAAACAAAACAACGAGAAAATGCAACCTCCGGCTGGCTGCCCAAAGCTTTTGCCTTCCGGCTTGTTTGGCTTGGTTTCCTTTGGTTTGCCTTCACACCAAGGGTGATCACAAAAAACGAAAAGATGTTTATATTTAGCTCTATAACCTGGAAAGCTTCTACAAAATGGCAACCCAAATGCCACCTAAGCATGGCAATTACACTTCCTGGGCCGTACTCCTTGTAACCACCCTGGCACCTGCAATGCTTTGATGATCTTTGGGGAAGCTTCATTGTGGGCCCCCGCATTTGGTGAGCAAAAAAATGCCTAAATATGAAGCTGACTTATTCAGCATGTGGAGGGAATGACCCTGGATGAGTAGTCGAGTGAAAAACAAAAAGAGACTACAGAAGGCTGCCTGACTCATTTTGTAGCAGAATCCGATTATTTTGAGAGATTGTGGGAAGGCGGGCATCCGTTTTGTAGCAGAACATTTCTCTTTCTGATGGGGGACGAGCCCCTTGTCAGGAAGGAAGCCATTTTGGAAGGCTGCATTGCCTTTGCAGCACCCTTTTTGTAAGGCTCAGGTCGTTCTGTACTACAAAATCTGTTTCCACGACCCCACCCCCTAAATGGTTACTGGGATATTTATCATACATTCCCTAAGAATCCGGGCCCTCAAACCAATAGAATAGGCTAAGAATCCGGGCCCGGACCGTCGTGAGATCGTGTCCGTGTCCGACGCCGAAGGTGTCGTGAGATCTCTACACATCCTGACCGCCCTCAAAAAAACAGAAAAAAAACACGCCTCCAACGCACCGAAACCTCCGCTAAAGCCGGAAATCCCGTGGTTTTCCCCTTCGACCCCTGACAACACCACCCGCGCGCTATATAGTATAGTGCTTTGAGCGCCTGAGCCACTGCGAGCTCAGCGCCTTTAGGCTACAGCAGCGGCAATTTCAGAGTCCAAACTCCGGCGAGCACCTTGGGTGATGGGGAGCTGTGGACCTTCGGAGGACGAGGCGTCGGGCGTCGGGCGAACGGACGCCCTGGGCGTCCGAAACAGAGAGCGCTCGTGGCGCGCCACGTCGTGTGCAGCAGACTTATTGAGCCAAGTTGAGCCTAGATGGAGTGTTTGGGCATGGAATTCTGCTCAATCCCAACCCAACCACTGATTAAGTATCTGCGGGATGAGATTCCATGGTCCTGGTTTTTTCCGTTGCGCCATTCGCCAGAAACCACCGCGGGAACTCGTCACGAAACTCGTCACGTCCGTCGCCGTCAGCAGGTCTGGACACTTCGGTGGCCTCTCCCCCGTTCGACTATATCGTTCCTTGGTGGGACGACATCGACGGATCGACATCGCCGGTCCGAACAGCAGCGGCGCAAGAGGGAGAGGAGGAGTCAGGATGTCCGTGAAAGAAGAGGACGTACGTACCACGATCGGGAAGAGTAGGTGGATGGCTTGAGAGGACTGACAGCTTCATCCCGGGTTGTTGCTGTGCACATTGGATGGCTTCCTCATGCTTAAGCTCTGAGAGGTGTTTTTTCTCCAAAACAGACAATTACCTTGTCCTGCGAGTTGTGCTACTGCACGAGGAGTTTGTTTGTTTTGTTTAAGTTGTCTTTTTTCTGCCTTTGCCTGCACAGCAAGGAGGATCAGGTCAGCAGCTCAATTCGTAACCCTGAATTATAGATGGAGGTCTATTGGAGAACTCAAGTATGATCCTATATTAATATTATTCATTGTCCCACAACTTCTCCAACTTCTCACTTTCCACCCTTCACCACTCCCCCAAAGTAAGATATTTAAACACCCAAGATGCTAAAAACTTGCCCCAAAAGAGAAGACCGCCTATATATCCCTGATACTCCATTATATGCAGTACATTGACCCCCCAAACCACTCTAATGTAGGCAGTCCTATGGCAGTCCCAGACGGGTCGTGTCTGGAAATAGTTTGCATTCCCCTCTACCCCTATCCCCACTTTCCCGAGGACCAGATCTGGGCCTACAACCTGAGCAGCGACGAGTGGCGCAACGTCTCCGCCGTGGCCTCGGGCGCTGCGCCGTCGCCCCGCAGCGAGTGCTCCGCGGTGTACATCGGAACGAATGTGTGGATCTATGGAGGTGGCGCACCCCCCAACACCGAGACCGGAGCAGCCTGGGCAGGAAACGGCGGGAGTAGGGGGGTTGGGTGGAGCAGAGCTGAGGCAGCCAGGCAGTGTGGAACAAGACTGAGGTTTGCCACGGGTTTTGGATGGTTTGGGGAATCTTGGAGGTGTCCAAGAAGAGGAGTCCTGGTGGTGAGTGGTGGATTGTTTGGAGTGTCCAGAAAGATCATGAAAGATCTACTATACTTTAATGGTATAAGGCCATGCAAGGCCTATAGTCTCAAGGAGGAAGGACCCTGAAGGATTTGGGGTGCAACCTTGAGTGATTGCAGTTGGATCAGCTTCCCCAACTTGAAATCATGCTCCGAGACCTTACTGAAGGTAAGCTTTTATTTAAGATTTCAAGGGTATCCAATTGAGGAGCTCTTCACTTATGACCAGTGAATTCTAAAGATGTTTTTTCCGTCATTCAAGTACGGCCGAGTCCTTGATGTTGAGCCAAGTCCTGGGTGTTCGTTGGTTCTCTTAGTTCTCTTCACTTTGTTTTTTGATGTTAGCCTTCCAAAGTTTTTCCACTGTGACTATTTGTCTTTGGGACTGATAAAATATACATGTTTGTTAGTCAAACAACACATCCGGATGAAGCAGGAGATTCTGCTGGCTGAGGATCTCTTCACGTTTGATACCTCCTCCAACACCTGGGCACAAATCACTCCCACGGGTGGCCCTCCTCCTGGGCGGCGTGCCCATGCGGCGCTGACGGATGGCGCGGGACAGATGTGGGTGGTGGGCGGCTACTACTCGGGCGCCACACAGGCGAGGCCTTGACGCATGTGTCTTTGAAGTCCAAGTTCTGGGGCGATGGACGTGATGTGGGCAGTATATGCTGTAGACTTCAGGTACCACCAGGTCGTATCAGCATTTACCAACCAGTTTTACATGGTTTTCCTTCGAAAATTCTGAATATACAGCTCTCGTGCTTAGTCACGCCTAGAGCGTTGAGTGACGCCTAGAGCGTCCGAGTCACCAGCGGTTCGGTCGAGTCTCAGCTGCCTGCCTGACCACCTGCCTGACGAGGGTGGGGGTGGGGGGGTGAAACCCCAAGGTGGACACCTGGATCTACAACATTGCAGGCAATTCGTGGAGTCAAGCAGCTGATGGACCAGCCTCGTTGATGTATCACTCGGCCGTCTCTTAGCGGACACGCCTTTTTGAGAGGCCGGTTTTGATGGCGGTTGGGAGGTGGATGTTGGTGGGTATCTTCGCTCAACATTTGGTAGAGTCAGTGTATGTCAGTGTGATCCCGATACGCTGGAAGTCGCTGATACTCGCTGGGGTCTCCTCATCTGAATGGTTTCACGGTGCTCCGCCCTTCCGGTTCGTGCTCCGTCGTGCACATCCAGTCTCGCCCAAGGTCTATGAGCCCGGAGGCGGCAAGATTTGGCTTTTTGCGCCTTGGAACGACGGTCGTTTGGGTCGTTTGGGTCGGACGGACGTGAACCGGTCCCGGTGGACGACGAAGTGAGGTGTTTCGAATTGGGCGGGCGCGAACATCAAACACGTGTGAGCTTTCCCGAGCTGCTCAGACGGGCAGATCAGAGGGTACACATGTGGGGACCTTTGTTTTTGGGAGAGATTCACACAATCCTTGCTATGTTTTTGGTCCTTGCTCACGAGTTTTTGGGATTATGATACCCACAGGCAGCAAAACTGCACACCCATGTGGGTGCCCAGCACCTGCACACCCTTTGCCCACTGCTGTCCACGGGGAATCCGCTGTCCACGGGCACCAAGGGTGGAGTCGGGACCGACAGTGGTGGCTGGCATTCGTCCAGAGAGTTGCTTGGCTGTGCGAAGGATCTTGTGCCCAGTCGAAGACTTCCCATCGCCCGTGTTCTTCATGTTGGTGCACTGTGAGAGTCCATACGAAGCGTGGTGTTTTCATGATCTTTCACAGGTTTTGTGGACCTTCATGTTGAAAGAATATGGATGCATCGAACAGATCGTAAAACAATGCTATTTGCATTGGACACCATGCCATTGTCCACAGACCGCCGCCCAGGCTGTGGTGTTTGGACATCACGGCGATCCTGAGCTCCGAACAGGGTGGGGATTCGGTGGAAGAGAAAAACCACGTCTTTCCCGCAAAACAGCGCAACAGATGTCATTCGGGGTGTGGCAAGACATTGGCTGAAATTGCATGGCCTTCTGCATGTGCTTGGGGGCGGTATGTGTCCAACTTTTCCGCAGCAAATCGAAGAAGAGTGGCTCCGAAGGTCCGTTAAATGCTTGGGTGTGTGTTTTCATGTGTTTCCCAAAAACCCTTCCAGAGCCACCACACGCCTAGACACCCAAAGGCTGGCCTAGAACCGCCAGCTCCAACTTCACGGTCTCTCCAAATTGTTCAACGAAGTCCATCGTCCTAAACCTTCATCCCAAATCCATCCCCCTAGGCCTCCAAGTACCTTCTGAGAACGTGTTTGGGGTGAGTTTGGAGGGTCTAGTCATACGTTCCTGAGGTACGACTGGAGGTGTAGGGTCCCACTCCTAAACCCCAAGGCCTTTTCCGAAAACCTGCTTCAGCTCTGGGGTCTCCCCGTTCCACGTCTGATCGTGTCCCAAGGAACACCTGGAGCAACTTCACGCAGCCGGACGGCCCGGCAGGGCGCCGGAGCCACGTGGCGGTGCTGGCAGAGAGCCAAGGCACGCGTGGCACCATGTGGATCCATGGAGGCTATTTGTATGATGGAGCTGTCACTGGGCAGAAAGATGGGTTACCCAGACACGACCCGTGGGTGTATGCGATCGATCGACCGATCAGTTGGGGTGCCAGGGGGGTCTGTCTGGGGTGGCAGTCCTATGGGAGACAAAGAGATGGGCCGAGATGGGCTGAAGATGGAGACTGGAGGGAGGGTGCGGACCGCGGAGGATGTGTTTTTTGGGATCGGTGAACAAAAAGAAGGGTCAATGAGTATAGAAGATGGCAGAAGAGAAGCAGACATAGGCGAATGGGTCGGATTTTTGATGGGATTAGTGATTCACCGTATGTTTTTTGGGGGGGTGATTGGAACAAGACTGAATGGGAAAGACACGAATGGACTCATGGGACGTAATTGGATTAGGATGGATGATGTTTGGGTTTGGGGGGGCCGTGCTTTGCATTGAGCCTCGTCGTGTCTTAGCGGAGATTCCTAATTTGGCACGTAATTCGGAGTGACCAGATTGAGAGGAATCTTGGAGTCATTGGCAACGTACCGAAAGAAGCCACAGTCACGATGGCTCACCAGATGGCTTGCCAGTTAGACTCCGGAGAATCATGGGCCAACCTGCATGGAAAATGGCTCCAAAAGGATGACCATGAACACCAAGCAGGTGGTGAACTTCCATCATTATTTCAAGGGGTGTATTTGTTTAAGCTATATTAACGTATATTCACGTTAAGATGCACATGATTCAGGTTTTCCAAACTTCCACACCTTGTCGAACCCTTGCTTGAGGCAAGTGGAACCCAGCTCGAACCCAGCTCTGCCTCGTCTCCCATCCTCTTCTACCCCAGGAGGTCACCAAATACAGCGACGTTTGGTCCTATGAGATCGCCGGCGACACCTGGACGGAGGTTGCGACTGGTCCCAGCAGCATGACACGCTACATGCACACAGCAGTCCTAGGGCCCGGGGACGTGATGTGGATCTATGGTGGCACCTACTCCAGCGTGGTGGAAACTCAGCTGACTATAATGGTGGAAACTCAGAGGTTTTTAGAAAAAAGCGGATCTTCAATGATCTTCAAAGGATCTTCAAGATGAATTGAAAAGATGGTCCATTTTTCCACCCAACTTGCGGCCACTTGTGCCATCTCTCAATCCACCTTCATTGTGCACATCATGCCCAGGAATTGTGGACCCAGGGTTGCCCAACCTTTGGGTGATTGGGGAGTGTTCAACATGCACTGGGAGAAACGCTTCGGTTCGCTTCACCGCGACAACCGCGCCAACCGCGCAGTGTGACGACTGGAGCTGTCCGTTCCCGTGCGGGTGTGACACCCTCTCAGTTCACCGGCAGAACTCGGAGACTGGAGTTCCCCCAACCCGACTGGAGCCGCCAGCCGCTGTTCGAACTGTTTTCTTTTGGCTTTGGTTTTTGATGCAACTTTGGGATATGTACTTTGGGCCTTCATAGGTTTTCTCATTTTTTTCTCACTCCGACCTCGTTTTTTGGTGCACAATGACGGGTTGGATTGGGGGTCCGCGAAAGCTTTGGTTCCCCTAAAGACTGTTCGCCCACGGCCTGGATTCGCTTAGGGCTAGGGTGATTGGATCCTGATGGGTGAATCCTATCTCGAAGATGAAAGCGATTGGAACACATGGCGAACCACGCTGCGCCGCGACCGGAGAAAATCGGACGACGACTAGACTCAGTACTCCTACCAGATTCTGGACCTTGCTCGGATCCTCCGATATCTCATGGGGCCCATGGGGTATTAGAATATGTTTCAATCTCTTTTTTAAGGATGTTGGATGAGGCTTCATGCAGCCGCTATGGTCTCGCGAGCAATTTCATGCTCTATTGGTCTATACCTGAACATAGATGTCTATCATATGTCTTTCAACGGATCGGCGATGCCATGAAGGACATATCCAGGCTGGCTCTGCTCTTGCCTTCGGGGGAGAGAGGCTCTTGCCAACGGACAGGCCGGGAGTGGCCCTGGGAATCGGTGTGTTTGTTGTTTTGGACAGGTGTCTAGGAGGAATCTCATACTTAAGAATGTGGTATTTTCTTGGCCTCTGGGCCTTGGAAACAGTGGCCAGTTGACTGGCTGCTTTGAATCCACATATCTGAGGATACAGTGCATGCCTTCTTCACCCTGCCAACCACTACCACTTCGACAACGACAACTACAGGCATGTCAGATGTAACGCCTGTGAACGCCTCACAGGCCTTGACCATGGTTGAGGATCGTCAGGATGCCATGTCTGCGGCTGTTCAGGCCAATCTGGGCATCTTGGACCGATCCACATTAAGGGGATCCCCATGATGGTTCTGCTTGTAGGGTTTGCTATCTTCAGGCTATCCCTATAGTTATACCACCAGTATGGCCATACGGCTGAAGATGACACTTTGTACAGGATACTCTTCTATGGAGCTGTGTGGCCTGCAGCCTTTTCTGAACAGTTGAAAACCTCTAGTTCCTAGGGGCAAGCGGCACTTCCTAGTTCATTCTCCCCTTTTGGAGAATGCCGCTCTCATCGGACCTAGGCAATGTGAGTGCCGATGGCTTCACTCTCTCCGAGCAAGAGGACTTGACGCTGAATGGCACGGCCATCCAGTCCAAAGCGCTGATGGTGGCTTTGCGAATCAGATGATTCGTTATTTTCCCCATTATATACCAAGAGAGGTTAAGTGACCGTAAATAGGACCTTACTGGGGTACCTATGGGATAGGCATGGATAGGCTAGTTCGGGTTCTTCAACCTCTGTTGGCAATGTGGTAAATGCTCGTTGCTGGGGGAAGATGTCTTCTCTCCCGGCTCAACTGCAAGGCATCCAACGATGGCTTCAGCTACAGCTATCGCGACGTGACGGTGGAGCTGTCAGGATCGCGACGACGTGGAGGCTTCCCACCTCCTGGAGGGCTTCCCACCTCCTGGAGGGTCTTCCCACCTCCTGGAGGGCTTCCCACCTACTGGAGGGTCCTAAAACAAACCAATCAGTTTGCATGTGTTGGAGTGCAGGCATGTGTTGGCATGGCCTTTCAACATGAACCTCAACATGAACCATCCATCCAGTGGAGGTAGCTGGAATTCCTCCTGGCCAACTGGAGAGATCATGGGTCTATACGGTATACTCATGTGTATTGATGGTCATGTTGTCTTCGTACTCCTGTGACATGGGACCGGCCGGGGTCGTGTTGCACTGCTTCATCAGATCACCGCACCCTGGATTGGGGACAGCCCAAACATGAAGAGGTAGAGGGGACCACGATTCTTTCTGAGTCTTTTCCTCCCCATCTGAGCTTTTTTTCTCAGGAGTCGATGAGTCAATCTAGTCTTTTTGCGGTCCAGGCGGAGTTCTGGACCAGGCGAGACCAACGACCCACCGCCCACGCAGCAAGACGGTCCCTTCAGCGCACCGCGCACCGCGGTCCCGCTCCACGTCGCGCGACCCGAAAACGTTCCGCTTTTGCAAAGCTATGCAATGGTGTTCCACCACCCTTGGTACAACTCCAAGCAACTTCCGGATTCCATGCAGAGAAGAAATCACATCCAGGTTCAGACCAGGTTCAGACCGGCCGAGTGGCGAGTGGTATCGAGTGGTCGAGAAACATCGAAGGATTCAAGAGTGGGACAGTTGACGCGGGTCATGGTCAAAAGGTCTCCCTTTCTTCCCACCCTTGTTCAAGTCCGCAAATGTGCACCAGGAGCTGAGAGGCGCTTCAGTTCTATATCGAGGCGTTTTTGTCGATGAAACAGGGACGTCTTTTTCTGGGAGGTTCCCCGGTTCCCCCAGAAGGCGGAAAAGACCACGCGGAGTGCGGATCTCGTGTGTGTGAAACCACCAGGAGCCTTGCTTCAGACGCTGCAAGATGGCTTCGCTCTGAGCTTGGCGTTGATCTCCTCCGACAGCAGCAGCTTTGCCTTGTTCGAGGAGCCTCCCGCGGTCTTGACCTCGCCCATCGTCAGTGTGCAGCTCTATACGAGTGGCTCGGTGTGTTCAGCAGGGCGCGACCAGTCGGATGCCGGAAGTGTAGAGGTTGGTTGAAACAAGCAGCTTATGTGTGAAGTAGCATGTACTGAAAAAACTCTACAATTATTCTACAGCTTCGTTTATTTCATGTCGTCGTTTTTTTGATTCTAAACAAAGAGTAACATGGGTCTAGCCCAAGACAAGCGCCCAAACTCAGATGGTGCCCCTCAGTACAATCAAAAGGCGAGCCTCAAAATCGTGAAGTTCTGGAGAAGTCAGCATGTCATTGACATGTCATCCCTTATAATGGTTTAGCTTAATGTATCTTAAGGTTATTTGTTTTGTATTTTATGTTCCCATATTTTCCCGGTGGGTAAATCCATGTCTAGAGAATATATCCAAGTGCTTAAATCCAAGTAATCCATGGGAGTATGCCATACACGGATTCTTTGGGATCCCTCAAGTCAAGACCGAGCATCATCAAATCTTTACAGTTAAGAGATGGAGTCCAGCCAACCGCTGAGGGTGGCCCATTTTTTTGTTTAGTGATTTCGGAGTAGGAAAAGCAATCTCAGAGTGCAGGATAGGGGACAAGTCAAAAAAGAACAGTGAGCAGAAAGGTGAGCAGAAAGCGATCCAAAGGTGATGTGATTGAAATATTTGGATGTGATTGAAATATTTGGATACGAAAGCCAGAAGAACGCCAAAAAAAGGTGACCAACATGTGATCAAAAAGCAATCCAGAATCGAAACCTAATATATATATATATATATATAAACGTCACGTGTCGTTTCGGGAGGCGTTTCACAATATGTCAGTCAGTATGCTCACTATTTTCTCACTATGTTCTTGCTATTTGCTCACTATTTTCCTGTCGATGGTTTGCTTTCCTATGTCTCCGCAATCACTTTTTGATTGCTTTTTTTCCACATGTTGCACGAACACCCCAACCTATGTTCACTATTTTCTTGCTGACTTCCTTACTCTGGACCTGACAAAAAACATAAATCTACATTTCCAGTGGTTGCCTGTCGTCGCAAGTCTTAACTTTACAGGTTTATTTGAGTGGTGGTTTTCGATTGTTTTCGATATATATATATATATACACATGTTTTCAACCCTTACTTGGAATGTTTGACCCCACTGAGCTTCATATTTTGTTCACATTGAGTTGATACCACCCACGAGTTTTTTTGATGTGAAAACTGCTTCAGCTGATCATCGACCTGGGCGGTGCACAAATTCCCGTGCCTTCGAAAGAAACGTGCTTCAACCAGGTCTCAAATAGCGGCAACTTTTGAATGCGTCATTATTTTGTATCGATTGAAAGTGCAGGTTAGTATGATACATAATTATGGCTATTCTAGGGTGGAGCATCGCATGGGCCTAGTGCTTGTTCCATTGAACCACGCGATAAGAATTATATACTTAAAATACAAGTACACGATCAGGTTGTTTTCATTGTTTATGTTCTAAACTTGCCACTCTCACTCTGCTTGGCCGAACTGAAGCTCCACTTCAAAGTGCAAGAAGGACATGGCAAGCAAGATGGGAGAAGACAGAGTCAGGACACCTACGACAGAGTGAGGAAACCTGAATGGCGGAGTCAAGAAACGCCAACAGACAGAGTCAGGACACCTGGAAACGTGTCGAGAAGACAACAATAGGAAGAAAGTGTAGAGAAATACAGATGAGGAGGAGTATGAGAAGACTTTGTGTGGTAGATGAAAGGACCAATGAAAGGACATCTCCGTACTTTGGTGATGAGAAAAGCTGCGTTGTATCAATGACGTAGAAAGGAACAAGAAGGGGCAGAAAAAAAACAGAATGTGGCAGGGCCAAATCTTCCTTTGCTTTGGGGTTTCACTTCTTTAGGAAGTCTTGGGGCTTGGCTTAGGGCTGCACTCCTTTAGGGTTTGTTTGGGTTTGGCTTGGTTTAGGGCTTCACTTCTTCAAGGTTTCTTAGAGCTTAGGCTTCACTTCTTTCGGGCTGCTGTGGGCTTGCTCTAGGTCTTGACTTCTTTACAGTTTCTTTGTTTGGTCTTGCTTTAGGGCTTGGACTTCTTCAGAGTTTTTGTTTGGGCTTGGGTTTTGCTTCCCTTCTTTGGGGTTTCTGGCTTGGTGTACGAACAAGCACTTCTTGGATGGGTTTGTCTGACGGCTTGGTGGACAGGGTGTCATTTCTTCAGGGTTGCGTTGGCACTAGTGATGTGGAAGGTCACTTCTTTAGGGTGTGATTTGGGCGAAGGCGCTTCACTTCGGGTTTCTTTGGGCTTGGCTTGGGGCTCATTGGCATTGGTTAGGATTTTTTGTTGCTTGTTTTATTGCTTGGGCTTCACTTTATGTTATGTTGTTTATTGGGACAGACCAAACCTCACCCACCCACCCACCCCAACCGAACCTCAGGGAGGTAGTTGGAGGCGTCCCTCCCCCAAAAAAGATTCTTCCAGAGAAACCAAGGTACTGGCGGAAAGATATCACAGCTGGCCTCACCTTTGCTGATCACTTTCCCTCGCCCCACGCTGGAAGGACCGGGGGTGCTGGAAGGACCGGGTGGAGTGGTTAGACAGCAAAGCAGCAGCTCAAAGAATCTTTTGCTGCAACTTCAGGAAACAACTCCAATTCTGCAATTTTGTTGTGCACTCAATGTTGCAAGGATCACTAATTGATCACTGATTCCAACTGATTCCCTGAGCCCTTTGAAACCTCATGTGAACCATCCTTTGCAGGAAAGCCCGATCTTAGTGAGATCCCCAATGTAGAAATTGTATTGTCCACTTCGTTTCTCCGGAACCGGCTCTCTCTTTCCCTCTCTTTGCCAGGCCGCTTCCGCCCACAGTGCGTCTTCTGGGATGAAGCGTTGCAGGCCTGGTCCACCAATGGCGTGACCCTTGTGAGCCAAAGCGCCGCACAGGCAAGGGGCGTGGGTCGGGAGGGCGGCTGGGCAGGGCGGCCGCGCGCATGGCGGCACGGGATGCGGCGGACGCGGCGTACTCGCTGCGCCATGAGTGGCAAAGGGGTGAAGAAATGGATCAAAAAAGATCAAAGGTCTCCATGTTTCATGTGTTTTTGTTGGCAGGTGCTAGCGACTTCATGGACACGGACAAACAAATAAGTACATGACTTGGGTGCCCATTTGATGACAAATTCCGGGTAGGATATCCAAGATTCTGTGGGCGGATGATATCCAACACCTCATCTCTTCATGAGGAGCTTCAGGTTGAAGACTTGGTGAAGACGGGTTGAAGACTTGTTTGTCAACCAACGGTTTTACATATGCGCATGGACCTGCATGGAACACTGCGGAGGGATTTTGTTTCTGGAATACCTTGGACACTACCCCTCACCGAGTTGTGCTCCTTGATCGCTTTGACCTCCTTATTTTCGTGGTCATGTTTGGTCCGCCAAAGAATCGAAGAAAAGCGCTTGATATACTGTATTTCATCCAGCATGCTGACTCCTTGACAGCTTGACCCATTTTCATGACCATGTTTGCATATGTTTGCCAAAATAATCGCAGAAGCGTGAAACATGTTTGCTGTGCGCTGCGAGGTCACCTGTGCTGCTGAGCACCTCTCGCTCTTCGCCTTGCTGTTGATCCCCTTCCTATGTAGCAACGCCGCCGCGATCTTCTCCCAAGCAGGCGAACGATTGACCGGCCAAAAACTTGGATGGGCCAGTGGAGCCAGCCATTCGAATCATCGTAGGGAAACCTATAGGTCATCCTAGGTCCTTTGTTCGGCACTAACACAACCCCTGGAAGGTTGCCCCCTCTTTTACGGGTTATAACCCATATGAAGGAGTTTTCACCTAAGGTTTTGACTCCACATCATCGCTTTTCAGCTGTCAGCGGCGACCGCTGGGCGAGCTTCGCGATCGTCCAGGTCTGGAAGCGCTGGCGGAGTTCTCCTGGGCCGGGCGGCTGCCAGCATCTCGGGACGAAGAGAATGGTCCTTTTGGATGTTCGATGGTAAAAACCTCTTCATAACCCAGACACGACCCGTCTGGGACTGTGGACTGCCGATAGGGGTGGTGCCAGGGGGGTCAAAGGGGCGGCAGTCCCAGGTAATGCCTGGGGGGGGAGGCTTCGAATCGAGACTGCAGACTTCTGAGGCGTCTTCTCGCGACTGGATCAGGTTTGGTTCGCAGGGACACTCACACGGGGTGAACCCGAATTGGCATAAATACATCAAATCCCTAGGGATCCAAGTACCTTCTCAGCAGGTGATTGGAGACACCGCTATGTAGGTTTGGAGGGTCCAGTCGTACCGTACCTGAGGTTCGGTACGACCGGATTTTAGCGGGAATACTACCCGGGCCATGGGATTGGCCCTATATGTATACTAGTTACTACCTACATTGAAGGGGGCGCGCATAGGGCATAGGGGGGGGTGGAAAAGGGCCGCATGGAATTGTTCCAGTCCGGATGGTCTGGGAGATGATGCCTGGAAACGTTCGAGTCGGGTTGTCCGACTACACACTGATGTTTTATGCCAAGCATCGGAGAACAACCGGATCAACCATACCAAGATGTGGTGAACCCAAGGCGAAGTCAACCCATGAAGAAGACCAACTCACTTCTTTGGTCCGGTTGGCCGGTCACAAACCGAGATGAAACCGAGGTGACTGAGCGAGCAAATTCAAAGATTAGTAAGATTTCATAAGTTGTAGAAAGAAACGCAGATATTCTATTAATATGATATTGAGTATGATACAGATTAGTGACAAACCATGTGGTATATATGATATTTGCTTGATATGATCTTTGTTTGTTTCGTTCAACAGGTGCATGTCTCTCAGCCCAACGGTCCGGTCTCAGGCGGTAGTGACTTGGTTGACTCTCCTGGTCGGTGGCGGCTTGCTCGTGGCCGCCTTCCTGATGGACCGGCGGCACCAGACACACCGGAAGCAGCTCCTGAAGCGTTTGGAGACCTGTGAACAGGCGAGAGGTGTCCGGTGGTTTGGAGGTGTCCGATAAAAAAGCACACACACACACACGTTTGATGAAGCACCTGGCTCTATGAGGGGGGGCGGACATTGGGGAGGTGTCCCCAAACAAGAACAGGTGGAAAGTGCTTGTAGTTGTTTTGTTTTCTTCTCGGGCTCGAAACGCATTCTTCCAGATAAGTGCTATACCACAGCTCCAAAGCAAAGGTTTCAAAGAAAACGAGCTCGAAATGGCCTTGCGAGTCAGGTGACCTACACCAAGAAGAGGAGCATGGAATTGCCCAAGGAGACACCCAATTGGTGGATGCCATGCAGATTAGATAGTTTGAGCGTTCTTTCGCACGGTGAAGATGTCGCAGCGTTTTGAGAGTGAAAACGCTTCGACTTGAAGTGGTAACCACCGAGACTTGATGAGACTTGTCTCTAAATGAGAATTAAACGAGAGAAAAGAGAGCCGGAATTCTCCAGCTGCCAACAGCCCACGGTGTTTGAAGATGATGTGTGTGGTGGTAAGTTCAACCAATCCAGACTGAGTACTCCTTAAAGTCACAAAGTCGCCTTTGCAGATCTTGCAGGAGAAACTTGAGATTCATCCAAAGACCGTGAAAAAGATCCTTCTGAAGCACCTCCACACACAGATCCTCTTGTCCGAGCTCGGCGTGGATCTGGGTTTCCTCAAGCAACTCTACGTCACCGGAGGTTTTTCACCAGTTCATGCGCAGGCGAAAGAACTTGTGGAGAAGTTCTATGCCTCCAGCATTCTTTCGCGGAGCATCTTGCTGTTTCTCACCTCAAGTCATACAGACGGTTGTCCTATACTGTACTCCTTAAGGCCTAAAGTTTTTGATGTTGGCATTGTCCAAGCTCCACCACCAAAACCACTTGGAATGAAGGCTCTGCAGGCAGCACATCCGTGCCTCCAAACTTCTGGGAAAGGTCGAGCAACGCACACGGATGCGCACCGCGCAGCGTCCAGGTTTCGTGTGCACTGCCAGTGGATGAAGTTCTCCTACCCGATGATGCGCACCACTTCAGTGCAAAGGTGCGAGACCGAGACCTCGATTTCCCGGTCAAAACGCTCCACGTGGTCGTTTTGGCTGGTCAGCTTGCGGTGAAAAAATATAGCTCTTTCCCACCCTGGCTGTCCCCTGTGATTTTGTTGAGGTGTGCGGAGACCTTGGCGAAGTTTTGGAGTGGTTTGGCCCTGGTCGCTATGTGGTGACTTGGAGTCATCCCAGCCGTTGCGTTTGATGGAAGGATGGCACGGAAGGATGCGCTGTGATCAAGTCGAAAGGTTTCCAGAATCGAGGCGGCCAATTCCAGCGACTTCGCAGATTGGATATGAGAAAACATATACAGTAGTTTCAGAGTAGATGGCACAAACATCAAGAGGTCTTTTAGATGGGGGTCCATATAAACCATCGACCTTGGGGAGTGTGCATGATTGTGCCATCTACTCTGAAACCACTATATTTATAAGAAGCCTACTTACTTCCTCTTCCTGCAGAGTCAACAAAAACCGAATCCACGACCTAGTTTAGTTTAGTTTTTGCGAAGGCGCAACTCAGATTCACGCACGGACGAGGGAAGTCTGTGAGGGAAACACGAAGAAAGAAACCAAAAAGACACGTTCAACAAGTTGAGCACCCGCCCCTGCAGACCCCCACCCGCCCCTGACCCCTGCAGACCCCCACAGATGCGCCGCACAGTTTGCTCCTCAGAAAGCACGAAAGCAGCACGTCGCCCAAGGTATAGTTCCACAGCTTTGGCCGCACATCAACCTGCCGACTGCGATGTAGTGAAGGGCTTGGCTCAGATGATTGTCCGCGGCTTTGTGGTCTCCACCGTGGGAGCGATCATCGGGATCTTGCCAGTCCTTGCAACTCAGGTTGATGCAGATCAGCTTCACACAATCAGTTCGCATATTCACAAGAAGTTCTCTCTCTCTCTCTCTCATTGCACACATAACATATTATATATGACAGATCATTTGTATTTCCTCTTCATGCTGGTCTGGAAATGTGTACACACATGGGCAAGGGTGAGATACATAGATCTTCAAACACAGTGGGCCTGAGCCGTTGTCTTCAAGCCTGTCTTCTGCGCTGTCAAGTGAGGCAACAATTATCATTCAGCAAAAACTGGTGAGGACGGACTGTGTCGTTTTAATTTGCTCGTGTTGCAACTTCATATTTGACTCTTGGTCCACATGTTGCGAAGTCCTGGATTGGATGGTTTCGGAAAATCGTTGCTTGACGCCTGAAAGAAGATCAGCACTAAGTGGCTTGGAGGAAAATGGGGCAAACTGCCCGGGTCTTCTTTTGGAGCTTCATTGCTTTGTACTTCCTCCTCTCCCTCTTCGTGGTCTTGGTCTTCTTAGCCTCCGTGAGCGACGTCGATGGTATCGACTTCTTAATCGGAGTGCTCACGGCCGTGGCACGCACGATCCTTTTGACGCCCTGGGTGGGCGTCACCTTCTTCTTGCTCTTCATCGCATGTGTGGAGGTAGGGTGGCCCTGCAGGACGAAGAGTGAAGCTCATGCAAAAAAGCATGGCAAGTTGGAAGATAGTGAGTATGGTCTTTGGAAGGTGATTAGTGTCATTTGTAGGGTTGGGTAAATCCTGAAATGTACTCACTCACAAAAAAGGAAGCAACTGTTTTATTGAGAGCATCAGGTGGATCTGGCCAGCAGCTTGCCGTTTGAACGGACGGATGCCAAGAGCGGACAGTCCCTTCGCGTGGACGTGCAGAGTCTGGCAGTGAGATCGCCCAGCAACCCAGGAGATCTGATGGGCGCTCGCCCGGGTGACAATACTTGTTGGGAGCAGTTTTGACCTCCAACTTAGGGCTTTCCCGTCACAGGTTTGACCTCATCCACCGCTGCATTCCGGCATTCTCCCTGCATTCTCCCTCTATCAAAGAGGGACCACTGTGAGAAACAAGAAGTTCACCACCTCTTCGGCGTCATGCACCACCTCTTCGGGGTAGGCGCCGGTAGGCCGGCGGACCGGTGGTGGCCCGGCCTGTTACGGGGCCGGATGATATCAAAGACGAACGGAAGCAAACAATGCCGATGAAAGGAAGCTGTGCACTTGTGCACTTGCAGAACATAGCTGACATAGCTGTAGATTTGGGTAGGAAGCTGGGCGAGTGGCAAATCTCTCTGCAAATCTCGCGACAACACCTAACACACGTATTATAGAGGACCAAGGGGTCTATATCTTATCACAACCACACAATCACAATAGAACTAAGACTCTTCCATGCTGAGAAACCGGTATGTACTGAAAAAGGTGTATAGTCTAGTGAGAGATGTACACCATCAGTCACAAAGGGGTGCTATCCATGGAGGTTAGGGGTGCCCAGAACATCCACTCACTTGGGGACTAAACACCACCCCTTTGTGACTCCTGGCATGCAGACGACTTGATGCGTTTCTCTGGTTCATAGATGTCCATCGGTCATACTGATGGACGAACTCCTGCACCGAACTCCCTCACCGGTGCTGTGAGGAGAACGACGGCTTTGCTTCAAGTGTCAAGTGTCGGGTCTGTCAGAAGTCATCACGGTGAAGCAGCAGGATGCAGAACTTGCACCAGGCAGAGGGCAGGATGCAGGGGAGATCCTTTGAATGCGAAGACCTTTTGAATGTAACATAACATAAGAATCGCTATTTCTGATGACCCTTGACAATAGGACCCCCCCCAACCAAAAAAACTTGACAAATATAGGAGCCCAAAGTCTGACCCCCCAAGTAATCCGAAACGACACATCTGATCCCGATCGCCTTAACGAAGCAGAACAGACGGCTGGCCGTGAGTTTTGATCTGCTTCTGATTCTCACACCTCGCCTGCCTCAAGGTGTGTGCTTCACCGGACTGGCGCAGCACCACGTCATCTTGCTGAGCGTCTACGAGACGAAAGAGAAGACGAAACCGCTCAGCTTGCTGGGGGCGACTGCTGTGCTGGTGAGCGAGCTGAAGAGCTCCCAGGAACTACCCCTGCAGCCTGGATGGGTGGGTTTGCTTGTAAGGTACCTGGCAGGAGGAGATTTTCGGATCCTAGGGTTGGTGAAGCAGAATAGAAGCAAGGCACTCGAGTGCGCAGTTGTTTTTTCGGCGTGGAGATGTTTATGCTTCATGAGGACCCTCCAAGACATGTTGCACCCAGAAGCTCAAGGAGATTCAAGGACATCATAAACGTTACATCCACCAGATTGGTTTTGTGATAGTAACTGTTGTACATTACCAGGGTTGGGAACAGTGCTTGTTGGACACTTATATAGGCAAGTGTTTTCCTGCCTGTCTTACTGCCCGGCGCAGGGAGAATATATTATTGATATCATTTGATATCTAATGCAAATGAAGAGCGTGAGGTTCTAGAATCCGAGATGATTGATGAATGAAAAGTGAACGATCAATTGAAAGAACTTATATAAAACAGGGAAACGATGTCATTCACTTACTGTTCATGAATATTGGTTCACCCTCAAGATCACCTCTTGTTTGCTATAAGAGTGTGTCCTTGTTTTTGCTAAAGATCTAACTTCATTCAATTCGGCACCTTTTGTCGCTCGCAAGTGTGGACGGTGAAGCCGAACGATCTACGTTTGGACTTCGGATCAACACCTGTTTCGGCGTCGACAGGATTCGCCTCTATTTAAAAAGCATACCAACTGAATATACCCTAGGGCTCCAAGTACCTTCTGAGAAGGTGTTTGGGGTGGGTTTGGAGGGTCTAGTCATACCTTCTGAGGATGTACTTGGAGCCCTAGGGATAGATCAAACTTAGACACGATCCGAAAACGATCCGAAGTCGTGTTCCCCGCGCCGGTCGCTGACGGTCGCTGTCGGGCGCCACACCGGTTGGACCGATGTGTCGAAAAGGCAATGCCGCGGAAAGGCTTTGGAGGACTCACTCCTTCTGAGCGTGAAGCTGTCGGAGATGGAGGTGATGGAGTTTCTGAAAGCATTTCGAAGTGGGATGTGTTTTTCTTTTTTTTTTTTTAAATAAGTTGTTGTTTTATCAATGATCTCAAGATTATATCTGATAACATACCCTTTGACATCTAGATGGGAGAGTGGAAACCACTCGTTTGTTTGTAGAGGATGTTTGTCCCGTGGCCATGGAAAAGTCCGCACATGTGATGTGTTCGTTGGAGTGTAAGTTTTAGGTTTTGGAGTTGGTGTGACTTGAGTAGTAGGGAACGAGGGTTACCGAACGCAGCCAAATGGTCGTTTGCAAGTTGAATCATGGAGTCTACTCTAGAACCTACTGAACTCTGTATGGATATTATGTATGGATTATTTGATCGATTTGTTGGAATCAGCCTTTGTTGGATCAAGTTTCACACTCCTCCAGCATAAGGACAAGCCCTGGTAGAGAAGAAAACACATCTTCCAAACCTCAAACCTGTGGTTTTCTATCTCAGGGGATTTGGATCAGTTTAGCTTCCCAGTTTTCCCTACCCAGGTCAAGTGGATAACCTTTTGTCCCCACCCAACAAGAACAGGTGGAGCTTCCTTGCTTCCTTCGGTTCATCTTCTCGGAAAGGACTCGGCTCGGGAGTCACCCGAGGTTTCCCGCGCTTCTAGAGTCTCCCGGAGAGAGCTACGGCAAGCTCGGCGAGGAGGGCGCTGCCAAGGTGAAAGAAGGAACACAAGTCCAGCCTCATGTGGACGTGCAGGTGGTGACTTTCCAAAGTGAAGCCTCGGATGATGATCTTCAACAGGAAACGATTTAGTGGCCATTCCCAAGGAATGGACACTTCACCCGCAGTGGAAGACCCGCTGCTCCTATTTTAGCCGTCAAAGCGTGCTGTTTGCACGTTGCCCACGCTCCTAACCATGCATTTGGGTGATTTCGAATTCTTCAGCCTAATCATACTGAGGCAACCCAACCCCTGACCCGTCACCATACTAAAGCAACCCAACCCCTGACAAGGTCCTTACTTCACGACGAATTACGTTTCTATCTGTGAAATCACCCATGTGGGAGCTGTATCGCTATAAGCAATTTTTTTTAAAAACCGTGATTCATGTCAAGGACTGGTCCAGAATTCGTCGCCTGCTGTTTCCTCACCCAGAACCCGTCGACGTCGCTCCCCTGAGTCGGTCCCAACAAAACGCCGTGATCAAAAAAATGGGTTGGTTGGGTGAAATGGAGGGGATATCCCCAAGTGTACAAGCAATACTATAGGATACTATAGGTATATTTGGTACCAAACTGACTCCCCCTATTTTGTGCCAAGCTCGGACATCGTACCGTCCATGTGTTCTCAGGTCATTTGGATCATACCTCACATGTCATTTTGGGCTCACCAAAACGTGAGCCGGTGTTTTGTCACCAGAGGTATCGCCGAAGGCTTGCTGAAGCTCTGGTAGTTGCTTTAATTGGCATTCGCACCTAATGAGAGGCACAGAGTAAAGACTGCAATGTATAGAAGCTTCCTGGAGGAGTAGACAGAATACTGAGACTGAGACATTGAACGATCTGAGCAGTTTCCTGATGGTTTTTTGATTTATCTATGTACTACTACTTCAGGATAGCTATAATTCATGAATCTTTTAGATTTCAATCACGTTTTTGGCACTTCCTTTGAAGGTGAGCGTGCTCGCTGCTCATCACATGCCACGTGTGACTGCCGCCTCCGGTGAGACAAAAAGCACTGTTTCACGAGTCACTCACAAAATCGCGGCACAACCCAGGGCCTCCATCGGAATGCCTTTGGGTGGTGTTTTGAAACCACCAAAATCATTGAATATAATTGAATATCCAATTGCCACCATAGTGGCAATGGCCACCTAACCACTTTGCTTGCTTCTTCCCCCTGGGCACCTTAACAGATGCGCTGGAGCACCCGGCTCAGCACGTTTGTTTCGAGAGGTTCGAGGGTTTCCCTCTCCCTCCAGCAACCCCGGAGCTTCTTGACCGTGACCATCGACAGCTGAAGAGATGGACATGTTTTTCGATTCATAGCAGATCCATCCTGTCGATTCCTGTGTGACATGGTGCTGTTTCTACCCTACATGACCTATTATAAAGGTGTCTCCATTTGGACGCCCCTTTGTTCTTTATGTTTCTTTTTTCTAGGTGTCATGGAGACAATTATTGTTTCAGAGGGGTTTGGGTATGCACTTGTTGTCTCTTTGGGTGGTGTTATGGGACACTGTGGAACATAGATGACTACTGAGCCCATGAATCCTCACGATGTATTGTAGCGACCCTCATGTGGGAGGCAAAAGCTTCCAACACCCCAAACATGATCCTGGGAAGACCCCATTTCCCCATTGGGAATCTTCCTGCAAATGTCCAGGGGAATGTTTATGAATGAAATTAGAACATGCTAGAAGCTACTAGTAGCTAAGGGCATGACTGCTAGTACGTAGTTAGAAGCTACGTTCGTTTCCCCAGTCATCTGGAAGACGCCATGTCCCACGCGTCCCAAACGGACCTGCGTGGTCTGCGGATCGCGCCAGGCGACGGACCATGGACCCTGTCGGAGACCGGTTGAACACCGGTGAAGTCAGTGCAGTCCGACATCGAAAAGGTGTGGCGGCGGAGCTCTCTGGAAGTATCGACCTCCAAAACTCAAAAGCACTGGCAGTCCAAACTAGTAGTTTCTTGTTACTAGTAGTAAGAATGCTACTAGTAGGAATGGCCCTTTGTTTCTAGTAGCAATGGTTTTGGAGCTAGTAGCTTCTTGCTACTAGTAGTAAGGCCAGGAGCTACTAGTAGTGTCCTTGCTCCTAGTAGCGATGCCCTTTGTTACTAGTAGCATCCTTGCTCCTAGTAGGTGAAGCCTTGGTGGTTGATATGAACCATAAGCACTGTTTGGAGGTCGACCTCCACGAAGTCTCGACCTCCAAGTACCAGCCCATAAGCATTTCAATAGCCTTTATGTATGGCTTTGGTCTAGACTATTTATCAACCCATATTAAACATGTTATGCAGGATATTGTCAATATGGTCCATGCAGTGATACTAATGGTTTTGGAAGGTGAAGGTCGTATTCCAGGAAGGCCGAACTGGAGCAGCCCAAGGCAGACCAGCACTGCACCTGGAGAAAGAATTCAATCCTTAGGATACCAGTGGAAGAGTTGGAAGTGATGTACTACACTCCCGAAATCTAACATGGAAGTGGACAACCACCTGTCTGGAGTGGAAAATGGTCTTCCAAGGGGCCATGCCATCCACTTCCATGTTAGTTCCAGGGAGTGTACCGTTGACCTCTTTCGCCTCGGTGTATTGACCCATCCATGATTGGCCTTTTTGCTATCCGGTTGGCTAATAGAGGTGAACCCCCAGGTGAACAACCATCTACTGTATCTAACATTATCTAACCAAATATATGACCTCACCATGTAAATATATTTTCTGGGTAGGTGAATAACCCCTACTAATATATAACTAAATCAGCATCTCTTTAGTTAAATTCCAAAAGGACCTCCTTCTCCTCACCGGTTCGCGAGGAGCGGACCAAAGAAGTCCTGCATGCAGCGGCGCAACTGAAAGCTTCCGAGGCGCATGCGGGTCGCGGCACGCTCGCGGCACGCGGGTTCTGCCGTCTCATGCGGTTCCGCCATCGATGCGGGTCCCGTCGCAGCAAGAGAGGTAGCCAGTGACCGTCAAGAGGACCCGTCACCTGGGGTACATGATGGGATCGTCCATTATAGGGTTCTTCAACCTTTGGTGGATTGGTGCGTGGTGATATGTGGTGTTTTTTTGGTTGGCGAGATTTCCGGACGGAGGTGTGGTATGGAAAGGCTTGGGGGGGGGGGGAAGTCTGTGTGCCTGCGAAAAGGTTGGTTGGCAAGTGATCACCACTGAACTCTAAGTCTGAACAGCACATGTTGGAAGACGATATGAGGTTAACCTCCTATTCTCCAGGGAAACTGAGGAAGTCAGGTGTGTATCACATTCGGGATTCTATCCCGGGTCAACGCACCCGTGATGTTCAAAGGTGACGAAAACACGCGAAAACATGGTGAAAGGCCACGGCCATGAAAAACATGAACAAATTAGGTCTTGGAAGTTGGGAGGTGAAATTTGTCCTTTGGACTCGCTGGATCTTTGTTCCCACAGTGCAGGCGGCGCCTCGTGACGAGGTTCGGCAGGCTCCTCCGCGGAGCTCAAGGCATGGAACACTGACGTTTGGTTCGGCGGAGGAGGTGGGCTGATGGGGGTGACGAATACCAGAAACTCGATGTATGGCATTTTTTTAAACGGTGGTTGAAAAGGGGTCAATGATGGATTGTTTGGGAATATAAAGGATACCTTAGCCCAGCAAACATGGTTGCATTCTGGCAGGATCTTTAGAGTTTTGGACTAGTGACTCAGCGTTTTAGGGATTGACATACCGCATGTTCCACAAACAAAGGGTCCAAAAGAAAAGGGTTTCTATGTCCATCCCTTTAAAAGGCGAGATGTATAGACTGTAGACAAACACCATACTATGGTGTACTCGTGCGGCAGCTCGTCGGCTGTTCGTCCACGTGAAGTGCCGCAATCCGTTGCAGCAATTCCCAACTCGCCACATCCTTACGCCCTTTGCCATGTGGAATTCGCCCTAGGCAGCCCAATACTATATCGCCCCAACCCGGCCCTCGCTCGTCGCCCAAGCCGGCCGCACCTTGGCACCTTCAAAGCAAGAGGCCGGCGCCGACGCCCATGCATGAGGAAGATCTGAATACCCCGGTGACTCGGCCAAACGTTTGGTGTCTTTGGCCGCTCCGAGCTCCAGAGCTCCAGATCGACACGAGGTCCAGATCGTCATGGTGACGTTTTGCTGAAGCTGATGTTCTATTTTTCCGGATTGGGTACATTCGGGTACAGTAATCCCCTTTGGGGAAATAGATTCATCAATCCAAGGCTTCGTTGAACTTTGTTTTTGAAAGTCGAGGTTTATAGAAGTGGATTCCTGAGATGGGTGAGATGAACCTTTGAAGGGTTTTGCACCCAAAGATGACATCTCCTGCTGAAATAGCTGATGCTGTTGCCCATCAATGTTGCGAGAAATCGTTCCACTTGTTCACTTCCGATCCCACTCCACCAATGTTTGTACTTTGATATGCAAAAGGGGACCAGTTTGTGGGGTCCAATTCCACTTCGATGCACAAGCCGAAGCACAAAAAACACAGTGGTGAAAAGGACCATTTTCTGGCAGATGTGGAGATCAAGAGCAGCTCAAGGAATCGCTCCAGACCTTAGATGTGATGTTTTCTATGAAAGGGGCCGACCCAAACTCCCGACCCAAACGGCTGGATCTTGAACCCGTACATGGTTTAAGTGAAACCCCCGTTCTGCTTTGAGAAGATGTGAAGCTCAGGAAAGTCTGCAGACCTGTCCCGGGATATGTTATAGAAAAAACACAGATCATCGATATGATCTTGCACACTTGCCTTTGGCCATTACAAGGTGCCAGAATCATCGAAAGTCCGTTTTTTTTTCACAGCCACTGGCGACTTGCTTTCCCCCTCAAATATATGCGCAGCCTATGTCTCGACTACTTGCCAACATCTACACGTCACTTTATCATACTTGCTTATTTCACCATCCAAGGTAACACCCCCGGTCGGCAAACAGGTCGGGTGGGTATGCCGACATCTTCCAGACCAAGACCTTCAGAAACTTTCAGCTTTGAACAGCGACAGCTTTGCTCCCAACCTGGTTGCTCCCAACAGCAAAAGCCATTTTTTTGTTCAAGCAGCCATTGATCTATCCAGCCAGTAGCCTACAGGCATGCCCCCAAGGATCGAGCTGAGCAAAACTCTTCAAACGAGCTGGCGAATTGGTGCTCTTTGGCCCCACCATCCAAGGAGGAGACCTGGGACCGGCAGAAGTCCGACGAGCGCGAGGCGGGCAGGAAGCACACACCGGCGATTTTTGTTCCAAGTCCCTAGGCTCCTGGCCTACCTCCGTTTAGATGATGGGTTGGGGTGGGTGCCAGGGAAGTCTAACCGACTTCTGGGTCCCGAGATAAATCCAACAAGTTGCACAACATGAAGGGCACCACGTGCCCTCCATGTGCAAACTGTCTCGCAGTCCCACGTCTTCGTCAGGAGAAGCCCTCCATTCCCTGCTTTGGTCAGTCCATGACCTGAGCGTCTTAGCCGTCCTCAGCACCTGCAGCGCTTGCACTTGTGTCGATGTCCCGCTCCAGCTCCGCTGGGCGATGGCAGCCAAAGCGTTCCAACGGTCGCATTCTCACCATGTATGTCATCATCCCAAGTTACCCACGTGCAGCATGATGGGAAGCGCTTGAGCGCAAGCGAGCAGAAAAAAGCCCCTTTTTCTGCGCCACATGGTCTTCGACGCAATGTCAAGACGGGCTTTTAAGGTTTGGATTTGAAGTCCTTCTTCGACCAGTTCGTCTCTTCGGGCCTTCCAAACGTCCACCGAAGAACGATCCTTCGGGCAGGCAAGACATGCGAACCTGGCCAGCGCCGACCAGTCAGAGACCGGGGCTCCCAGGGGGAACGACCCGAACTCCAAGCGATGAACTCATGGATTGTCTCATGGCGGGGAACTAGTCATGTCATTGCACTCAGCCCTGCAAGCAGATGGGAGAGAATGAGCTTGAATGGGTGTCAGTGACCATCCGAAGAAGACAGAGAATCCGGGAACGACCCGTCCGTCCGGTGCCTGCGGGCCGTTTGACGACCCGACCCAATCACAGAGTCAGTCAGGCCGCTGACGTCACCGAGTGGTGCAAACACCACCCAAAGGAGGGTGATTTCATGGAACATACATAGTCAGGGGGTCTATCAACTTGGAACCACCCAGTTCACTGGGTGGTACTGGATGTGAACTAGGTGATTCTGGATGTGAATTGGGTGGTGCTGGATGTAGATGTTGGTTAAACAGACAAAAACAAAACACAGCTGGACCCTTTACATGTAAAATTGCTGTTACGAGCATCCCTTCCAAATCTTTTTTCCACCAGATCAGGGGCTAGGTGGCCATATCATCAGTCAAAAATGTGTTAAACAATACAATATATAATACAGAATGTTAATGAATCAAACGCCCACACAGGAGGTTCAATTTTACGGTTATATCCACATTGTGTCTATTCATCCACATGCTACATGACTCACTGCAGAGCAGAAATGCATTCCGTCAGGTCCTCCCATGTCTGCCGCCCGGTTTGAAATCCTCTGCCCAACCGCCAGCTGTCGCCCAGGTTCAACCGCCAGCTGTCGCCCTCGCAATCCTTGCCGCATGTGCCTCATATCCCGCCGGGGACGCCGAGAGCGGCGCCGCGCGACGGTGGGGAACAGCTCGACGAACGGTGGACGTTCGACACATGTGGGGGGTCCAAATTGATTGGTCCACTGCCCAGACCCAGAATCTGGGCCGGATTTGCTTCATCGGCTTCGGGCTTTGAGATGTTTGCTTCGGGTCCAGACCCCGTTTCGGTTCTTAGTCGTTTGCTGTTGAAGAGATCTTCAGAGCGGGTGAGGCTGGTTCCCTGGTCAGAGTGTGTTGGTTGCCTCGCCCCTACTAATCCAGGTCCATTGGTACCTTTTCGCCAGCCAGGGTTCATCAGAGGTCCGGAGATGTCTTTCATGCTTGATCTATTGGACATGATAGCTGAGTAAGTGCTTTTCAGACGGCCTCGGCGCGGTAAAGATTCGGGTTCAAAGTCACCTGGACCTCGACGGACGGGTTCATCCGGTCAAGTCCGGACTCGGCCAGCGTCCGAATTCTGCACACCTACACTCAGCAGATCCCCTTTTCATAGACTGCGGATTCTGCTTGGGTTTCAACATGTCACATCGTTGGTTCCGCAACGGATCGGTTCAAGGAGGTGTGTGTGTGGGTGTTGGGCCGGCCCTTTCGCACTCCAACCAAGGCGGGAAGAGAAGCGGCAGGTGGGGCGAAGGGGTTGAGGGCGACTTGTTCGCGCTGGTCGGGGCCTCCGACCCAACGAGCTGAAGCGGACGTTTGTTGGATGGCGCTGGTAGGGATGTTCATGTGCCTGACATTGTGGGAACTTTGTAACGTTGTGGAAGTGTTTCTTGGAATGGTAGAGAGTATGATAAGTGTCCCTCCCTTTGTGAGTCTCAAAGTTGCTCATGAGTTCTTTCGTCTTGTGTGGAGGTGCCTCCCAACGTTGAACGGGTTAAACGTGTAAGGACCTCCATGGATCATTTTATCCAGGTATCCAGTGAATGACCTGCAACCCTTTTCCACCAAACATGACCAGCTTTCTTTTCGTTGCGAGGAATTACAAACTTGAGGCCATCGTGCCACCGCAAACCTTTGCTGCTATAGTGAAGCTTTTGAAGCGGCTCTTCGATGTCACTCTTGACACCAGCACAGAAATATCTTCGGGCAAGCACGAGCGGGAGCCATTCCTGCGGACCCCCGTGGAGCCATATATTTGGAGCGAGACCTTTGTGTTTGAATGCCGAGCTTTCCGGTTTCGCGAGGCTTTTGTTGGAGGGTGGAGGAAGGACTTTGAACACATATGGTAATTTGAGCTTGATTCGTGTTGTGTTTCATTCGTTTCGGGGTTTGCGTGATCCTTTGTTTCGTCGATGTTCATGGAGCCGACCAGTGTGTCAACGATGGGTTCCGAACGAACGGAGACCCGCGAGGACACCGAGGTCGTCTCACTGCAGCACTTGAAGTCTGCCAAGACTCGTGCACAGGTGCGTGGTTCGTTGGGCCACTGGGCCACTGTCGGGTGTGGACAGGTTTGGGATGAGAGGGTTTTGGCTGAAGTGGACAGCCTTTGTTGAGACTTGGCTTGCACGAGTTGCTTTGGAAGGGACTGTCATTTGAGTTGTGTTAGAATGTTTTGGAAAGTGGTTTAGAAGAGAACATATTTATGTGAGAATCATTATACATGTTACTAACTCTACTTTCTATTTGCAACACAGGAAGAGCAGGGTACCCTTCCGGGTGTAGACTCCAAAGCTCAGTTTGCTCGCCAGCTCGCCATGACCCCCTTCGATCCGCCGATTAGACCTCCAACAGAAACATCCGTCTTAGTCCGCCAGGAGTTCAGTGGATCACCTGCAGTCTGCAGGTCCACCTTTTTGGGGAACTTGGTGTCCCCACTCAACAAGAAGAGGTGGAATTGTCCTTCGGTTTACCGGCTTGTCCTCCGGCGATGTTGGAGTCGGAGTGCCATATGCGGCTGGTCCCCAGCGAAGGCTCTGAACAGTGCGATGGATCATCCAGTCATCCCATGCGTTCATGTGCTGGGCAGGTCGGCTAGCCGAGATCATGCGCTGGTTGGTACCCCCTTTCTTTGTTGGTGAGTGTCTCAAGTAGGGTGACCAAAGTGATGCTCATGGCCGATTTGCGGAATCCAACCATCTTGAACCACTGATGGTCAGGGAGCAAAAAAGGGGTGTGCATTCAAAACTAGGGAGACCAGTCTACACCTTGGGGGGTGGTCCTATTTTAAGAGAGGGACCTCTTCATAGTCCTCTTCATCCTTCCGGAGCACACAAGCTACACTGGCCCACACGTGGGTGAACCACCGGTCAGCTAGGGATTCGAACTCTTTTCCGGGAAGTGTTGGGTGGACCGAAGCACATGCCAGCAGATCATACCCTTCCAGGGCTTGAAAGATCATTTTCCTTCAACATGTGGGGCTTACACCGTTTACACCGTTGTTCAACGTTCCTTTTATACATGTTTACCACGGGGGTACTCCAGCTGAGACCATTTTCAGTTGTTATGTTGGACTTGGTTCTTCAGTATAGTTTGGGTTTGTCCGAACTTGCTCGTAACAGTTGTCACTTGTTTTTGCTACCAACCATCATCATCCACTGCTACTGGTAGTGGAATAGACTCGGATAGACCCAAAGTATAGTAATTCATGGCGATGTTTTTATTGTTGAAGTGGCGAACCCTTTGTTTGGTGCTTCAAGTTGTTGATGTGTGTTTCCCGGCAGAATTCCTTTGATTCAGGATGTCAAGGACACAGCGTGACCGCTGTCCTCGAGTTGGGGAGGGGGTCGAGTTTTAAGTTTCCGCCGCTCCAGGCTTGCGGGGAACGGAATGGGAAAAGACATCCGTGGCCACGAAATCGATCAATGCGCCCATGGGGCAGCGGTCAACAACGATTGTTTGCACAAAGCATCACAAAACGATTGTTTTGACACCTTTTGAAACCGGTGTCTTCTGTTTAGTAAGTTGACGTTTCCAAGCAGCCAGGTATGAAAAGGACAATTGACCTGCCATCACCTCACAACTGAAAACAAGGACGGTGAACCATGTAATGAGGGCACAACTGGCATCAATGAGAGCCCAGATGGTTCGTTTAAGGCAAACGGTTCGGATTAAGATCGGAGCAGGCCACACATATGGCATTTTCAGGACTCCGGATCGGGATTGATTCAAAGAAATGGTACACATGATCTCTGGCACCAAAATTGGATACTGTATGATTTTTGGGGTGTTGAATCAATCAGCAGTTTTGTTTGATTGACCCGAAACCAACACAGCTTTGCTCCATTAACAAAAACAAAATACAACTCAACTACTGTAGTTTGAGACTAGGTCTGTCGAGTTCCTCCGCGGGTTCTTTGTGGCACCGTCCCCCGGAAGCGATGGCTTGGTTCTCCGGGGTCCTGCAAGACGTCCGGACGCGCTCCACTGGGCTGCGGGACCGTCGCCTGGCAGGAACAGGAACAGGGCAAAGATGGAAGTTCTTGTTTTCTGAAGCTTCCCATGCCACATCTCACTTATAGTTATATGTTGAAACATGTACTATGCATACTGAAGGATATTAAAGGTCTTCTGTTTGAGTAGCTACTCGACTTCCAATTTGTAATTGAACCGCTGACCGCCGCGTCCTTTGAGGCGTCCGGGAGCAAGCGAAGGCTTTGGGGCGAGGCAAGCCGAGGTGTTTGAAAGCATATTTAGTACATTTGGATTCTGTTTGAGGGACTATAACATCTATAAATCAATCTCTTCCATTGTTTTCCTTTTTTTGCTGGTGAATGAACTTAGGTGACCGCTTTGATTGAATCTGAGCGTGCGACACCAAAAGCTAAAAAAAGCTGCCGCACTTGTTTCTTGAGCCAAAATTCAGGTTGGGTTGGTTTCAGTGCTCATGACTGACGTGTCATCTTCCAAAAAAGGAAAGGGTGGAGCGGTGCTTAGGATTTCTCACTCCCCCCTGATGTTATAAACATCACACCTTCTCAAAACTGCCAAGAGAATGGGAGCTGTCTGTTTCGTCAGACTCCCGATTCCCTCCAGTCACAGCAGTTTCAATGCCTAACCACACAGGCATCTGGGATGGATCCTCTTCGATCAATCCCTCACCGGCCAGCGCCCGGGTCCAGCCGCCCTCGATGGTGCCGGTCTCACCCCTTTTTTCATAGCCCTGCAGTCGGACTCGATAGCCCTGGCTCTCCTCACTCGCATGCCCCGAAGCACTCTCAGCCGATACCTCCACAGCAGCATAGGAGCGACACCCCGCCTCTGCCAGCGCAGCCCTTCCCCTTTCCGCTGCTCGAGACCTCGACGGCTGATCTTCTCCATACCCATGCGGGCTTTGATTCACCGTGCCAGGAGGTGGAAGTGGGTTCGAAGATGCCGAGCCCACATGTCCTTCAGTCTCTCTCGGAGGGAATCTCACATAGAAAAAACTGTAGCCCCTCCATTCATAGACATCCGCCAAATCCGAGTTGCGGGAATTGATCCAGTCATCTATGATCTCCTTCCTCTTCCAGGCTTCTCGAGTGCTGTTTCGATGGAAAGCCACTGTCACCCTCGTCGAAGCCAGTTTCTCAATCATAAAGGGCGTCCCCCTATGTAGGGGGTGGAAGGCTCTCACCCTGCTTTTCTTCAGCACACGAACCCACCATTCACCTGCTCCATCTCCACTGCCAAGGCACTCCCACCGGTCATTACCAGTGGGAGGAGTTGCAAATCGCTCCAGCCGCCACGGAGTGTCCGTGCCCAGTCCCAGATGCGGCCCCAGAGCACGGATAGCGCACACCCGAGGGATCCATGGCTGCGCGTGCGATGGGTCCGACAGGGTGCCAAGATGGCAAGTGTCGAGCGAACGATCGTCGGTCGATGTTGGGCCAGGTTCATTTTCCCTTGACCATCTTGACTTCTCTGTCCACCTACTTGGGTCAGGTTCATTTTCCCTTGACCATCTTGAATCTGTTCTTTTCTGGGTTGCGTTAGGCCTCTTGGTTGACTGGCATTCTGCCGTCTTGTACACACTGCTAGCTACGAAAGTGGCAATTGCTCCCAATGCAGTCACACACGCGATACGTGGAAGGCTTCCAACGTAAGGCACGGCAGCAAGCAGTCCCAGCGAAGCCATTGCAGCATATGCCACCTTTCTCAAAGTAGCACCATGCCCATCACCCTGTTGTTGTGAGTGACCCAACGAGGCTGCATCACGGAGACCAACAGCATTCCTGAATGCCAGCCAAGGTTGTGACTGAGTGATGGATTTCGTTAGCAGGTCTGCACACAGCTCCGCTCCTGGGACGTGCTCTATATCCCATAGATGGTGCTGAAGCCGTTCCCGAAGAACGTGACTCCTCAACCTCAAATGACGAGTCCTCCAGGGACCCGACGGAGCCTGAAGCAGTTGCAGGCCGGACATGTTGTCTCCCTTGAGCGTGAACGCTCCCTCTTTTTCAAGGATGTTCTGGTGCAGCACATTCACCACCGCACCAACACTCTCGCCCAAGGTGAACCCGTCGATATAGCCCAAAAGCTCACTCTCTGTAGTGCTCAGGGTGGCAAAAGCCTGGGACTTCGATTCCCAAGCTACCAAGCATCCACCCCACATAGCCATGATCCCTTGATGACCACGACCTCCAGCAGGAGCGAACGAGGAATCGGTCAGCACTTCCAGGCGAGCCAGCGACTGTCTACGGCCATGTCGATCAAGCTCAGGCGAACAAGGTCCATATTCCAGCACCAGATCTGGGGTTGCAGCCAAGTATCCAACAACATGGTTCGCCAGCTCCAGCACACCCTTAGGGGATTTGGTCACCCTTGCACCCAAATAAGCAACAGCGAAGCTGAGATCAGGTCTTGTCCGAGTCGACAGCCACAGGAGTTCCCCCACCAGAGTTTGACATTGCTTCACATCCGTGGGGTCTATGACTTCCTCGGGCTCAAGCTCAATCATTTTGGGAAGCGGTGAGTACCTCAGTGGAAGGTCAGGATGCCGGGTGACAAGTTCTCGAGCATAGTCCGGCTGGCCAATCATGAGGTTTGCTCCATTCCACTTCATCTCCACTCCACAAAACTTCCTCCACTCCGACGAGACCACCCACGTCGGTGTAGAGCATCTCCAGGTCGACGCCAACTTCGTCAGAACGGCCTGTGCAACTGATTGTGGGCCCATGACAATGAAATCGTCCACGTAGGATAGAGCAAACCCCGATGGTTCACCCTCCTCCATGACGTTCACATAGTCCCCTTCTGCCCCATTCGCAGTCATCAATCTCCACACATTTGGCTCTGGCGTCGCATTGATCCAGTAGTGCACACCTGACTCCCACCACCGTAGACTGCGGAGAACCTCATCTCTGTACGCCTGCCAGTCCGAGGGTGAGCTGTCCAGACCATACACTGCTGCTTCTACCACCCAACGTGTGTCCGCAGAGATCAGTCCAGCTTCAACCAAAATCGCCGGGGGCTTGGTGACCATGAGCCGAGGTGACTTCCGAGGTGCCAACAAGAAGGCCGAGGATACGTCAGTGATGCCTATCGACCACTGTTCATAAGCCGCCTTTCTCAATGCACACCTCAGCGATCCTCCATCGATGCCGCTGGCATACAATTCAAATGATCTTCCTGCGGAGGGATTCACTTGTTTGTCCTCTTTCACAGCCTGAGCGTGTCCTGCTCTTCGTGCAGTATCCTCCACCAAGTTGCCGCATAGGACTATTCTTGATCTCTTCTTTCCATCCGGTGCTTTGACCGTCGGCACCAGTTTCGACGGCACAACCAGCATCTCCTCGTAGCCCGGCTCATGACATAGATCTCGGACTGACACTGGCCGAACAGCCTTCGTGGTGCGTTCCAAGGAGTTCACCTCATACTCCAGTGAGGGAATCCAATCCTTCAGTTCCTTCTTCACCTGCGCCAAAGGGACAGTGTAGGTCTGTAATACGGCATGGACACTCAAAGGAGATTGCTGCTCACCATCAGGGCATTTCCCAACCACCCCTTCAGCCATCTTGGCCATTTGATAACCCAGGTCAAAATCCCTGATCTCTGTCAGTTCATTCTCCAGGGCCAGGACATTCTTCTCAAGGTAGTCCATCAGCGCTCCTCGCAATAGTCCATCCTCTTCACCCACCACCACATCCTTCGACAGGTCACTCCATAGCTGTTTCCAGCCCCAATGTTCTTCATGCATCCACCGTGTCATGTTATAGGCTTCCTCAACTCCACACTCCATGGTGCCATTCACAGCCTTCTCCTCAAGCCGCTCCAACGGGGTTTCGCAGAAGTCACAGCATTCTCGTCCTTCCATCTTCTTCATTGAGCCCCCATCCGCACATTGTAGACCACACTCCTTGCATACAGCAGAGAAGGACTCCCCCCCAGTCCAGACCTGGACTGGTTCTCCCCCGGAAGTAGCATGTAGTCGATGAAGTCCAGGATCGGACGATGACCTTGGAGGGGGAAGTTGGGGAAGCATTGGTTCCATTGGTTGCTTCCCTGTCAATCTGTGCTGTGGCCTTTCAGGATCTGGAACCATTTGTAGTTCTAGAACTGCTCGTTCTGCGCCTGGATCTTGTTGAACCACCACCCTAGCATGTTGGATCTGCTCACCCTCCATCAAGACATAGCCCTGTGACATGAAGGGAGATGGACCCATGATGGTCATAGTTCGAAAAGGCGCCCGTTAACGGTCCGAATCCTGCTCTGTGCCACCTTTTGGTTTTCACTGTGACTCTCCCCCCAATCGGCAAAAGTGCTGTAGATGGAACACCAAGAGTAGAGCATTGCCGTCGAAGTCTCTCTTCTCCCACGTAGCGGGCAATCCCCGGCCACCATTTCTGCTCCAGACCACTCTCCTTGATGAGGAGGCGAAGACGTCGTTTCACTTGGTTGACCTCACACTCAATCCGGCCATTGGACGGTCCTTCATCTCCGCCCGTCATGGTTTGATATAGTCCAAACCGTCGGCAAAAGGCTTGAAAAGATCTCGACAGAAAGGCACACTCTCTATCCGTGTGTACCCGGAGCATGTTGACTCCCATCGCCTTGAACCGACAGAAAATCCGAGTGGCAACCTTGGTGACATCCACCTGTGACCTGCTTTCCAATGGCTCCACCAACGTGATGTTCTGCACACCCACCGGTTCTCCCAGGCTTTTGATGTAGTCCTCCCAGGCTCTATTCAACTTTTTCACCTGCTCATCATCAGGAACTGGACGCTCATCCTCATCCTCCTCCCCTATAGGCAGTGGATCGCCCTCTTCTCCATCCAGCTCCCTTGCTTCTTCATCATCCAGGTCTTCTCTAGGCAGCCTCGGAATTGCCACGGTTGCAACCAGAAGATACTTGGCTCTGGTTCCCAACCCCACATCCTCACCCTCTGGCATAGGACCCACGATGTCATAGGACAGGCAATAGGCCGCTCTATCCCCCCGAGTTCTGCGATGGGGTGCATCCATGCCCATCATTTCCATACATCTCCGGCAGTCTCTTCTGTAGGGCTGATGTTGGTTCCTCACATGGTCCTTCCAGGCCTCCATGTCCATGCGTTGAAGTGCAGGTCGTCCATCCCCTCCATGATGTGAAGAGCTATGCAGCCTGCCCAGGTATCTCTTCAAACTCAACTTGATCGCAGCTACAAGCCCCGGTGCCCATGTCGACCGTTCTCGTGATTGACATAGCCGCCCTCGCAATGTAGTTGCAGCTTGTTGTCCAGTCCCATCCCCGGTCATGCCATCCAGCTCATCCATGTCCGGCATGTTGACAACCATCAGGCTCGTAGGTTTCCTCTTGACATGACCAACGGGGCCTTGGTCCAGGGTGATCAGTTTTGCATTCATGACCTCCATCATGTCCCGAACCTCTCTGAAGTTCCAGAAGCTAGGCATGTCCTCCTGGAGAGCTTCCTCCTTCATGTAGGTCACCGGATCCCTCGGACCCTTCATCAGATAGGCAGGAGAGATTGACCGATGCCCTGGACTTTCTCCCAAGCGCACCCTGGCCTCCTCCGCCATCAACCATAGTCCAAACTGTTTCAAGACCAACGCCAGGTCCCCATAGGCCAAGTCCTGCTCCACAGCCGACAAGCCATCCAAACCAAAGCGCCTTTCATCTCTTCCTCTCAACGGCCGCGGACCAGGTTCTCGATGCCGTAGTCGAGAGACACTCCTACACGGAGGCCCTCCCACCACTGCCACCACATGTCCAGATCTGGCCAGATGGCACAAGTATCCCCAGGTTCCCACTGCATGCATGTCATACTGGGTGCCCAAGGCGATGTCCACGTTGAGGATCTCGTAGCCATTCCAATCTTCCGCTGTCCAGGTCTTGGTGTCCTTTCCGGAATATAGGTGAATAATGACTCCTGGTGCGCGAGCATGCCGTCGTCGTTGATGCCGATTCCAGGGACACTCCTCCGGATTGTAGTGGTCCTGACCCCTCATGTGGTTCCACACTTCCTGAGGCACGTCCGGAAATCGTGATGACCACCAATTACGGATCTCCTCGTCCAGCATCAATTCCCCCTTGTCCTCCTTTTCCATGATGTCCAGCAACGCAAGGGCCTGCTTCTCCGAGAGCACAGGGCAACCACCTCGCAATGCGCATTCAATCCTTCCGCTTTGAGGATGGGTGATTTTGACGCCCGCTGAAGTCCACTGCAGCCTATAGCCCAGCTTCACTAATCGGTGCAATGGAACTATCACTTCCACATTGTCCTTGGTCAGCAACGTGTTATGCTCCTTGACACGGAACAGGGTCGTAGATCCCGATGCCAACTCCACCGTGACAGGAACCAATCTTGTCAATTCATGTGGACGGGCTCGGCGTAAGCCATTGGTTGCACCACCGTCCAAGAGAGCCAACGCTTCACAACCATTTGAGCATTGTGGCTTCAGCTCCTTCAATCGCAGCATCTTCATAGTTCTCAGTGCCTTCAACAGCGAAGTGGCCTCCGTCAACAACTCAGCCGTGGCATCCTTGCCTTGAGGCTTGTCCGACACCACTTCCGCCCTTGCAGTCGGCAATGATCCACCATCTCCACGTGCATCATCGAGCTTACCCGTCTCTGGCATAGGCTTCTCCCCCGTCTCTGGCTTGTCGGAGTCCTTCGCGGTCTTCACCTTTGCCACCCTTTTCGCATCCGGTTTCACTCCCCTGGCCCCATTCGGACAATCTTTCTTCATGTGAAGTCCTCCGCAATTGAAGCAGCGACCCTTCATGTCCGTGGTGTCATGGGCATAGGTGCAATTGGTGCCACGCTTGCACCCTTCCTCACTCTTCCAAAACTTGCAGGCCGGCTTCTGTGCAGACCTATCCTCCAACTCCGTGGCCCCAAAGGATGATGCCATAGCCTTTACAGATGTCACAGTCTGGCTTCCTGCAGTTCCGGTAGTGGCGGTTGTCGGCTGGGACTTCATTGGCGTCGTCAGCGAGACCTCTTCCACCTCCGCCTGCACATACTCAGACAGCTCCATCACTGCTTCCACCGTCGGTGCATAATCCACTCGTAATTCTTGCCTCACGTTTGCAATGCGAAAGGCCATCTGAGCGCCTCCTGATTTGGTGGCACTGTCAACCATGCGCTGCACCGTGACCATGAGAACCACAGGGTCAGGGAGCGTAAGGTGAAGTTCCTGCGCTCTGGTCAGCCATCGTCGCCATAACCTCACTTGTGTCAGCAAATCTGCCGTCCCCGTGGCAAACTTTGTCTCCACCAAACTTTTGAGGAGTTGCGTTTTTTCCGCCCCTCCTCCCGGCTGGTACGCCACATGTAGGCGGTACAGGATGTGGACCACCGAGAGTTGCCGCCCACTGACAAGATCCCGCCGGAGCTGATCAGGCAATGCCCCCCAACAGCATTGCAATGCCCCTTTGTTCAATCCTCTGCAGTGCAGGCTCAACCACCACCACTGGTTTCGCACGCAGTCGCTCCAGGGGTGTCATTGTCAACCAACGTGCATAGTGCTCCTGCGCAATGGAGAGTGACTCTTCCCACCAGGCCTTGGCGCTATGCGAAATGTCAGCCATCAAGGGAAAGCTCATAGTGAGCCAGTCCCCGAACAAAATCGAAGCTCCCTCAACATTTGGAGAGGGTAGGGCAGGGAGTTCAAGGTTCCTCAACGCCTCCGTTGTCGATGCAGTCGAGGCCCCACCACCAATTCTGACCACCTTCTGCCCAGATCCATGGTCCACCGTAGAGCTCGACAATGGGTGCCGCCCTTGAGGTAGTCCAGGGGGTTGATCCGGGACAGGGTCTCCCAAATGTTGACCACTTGAGACTGTCTTGTAGGAAGTCGTATCCGTTGGTTCACGAGAAGTGCCAAGTCGACGAAGTTCCCTCTGAAATGCTTCCTCAGCTTCCCGGAGAATTCTGGTTCTCAGGGCTTCAACGTCCTCCGGACCCGGTGACATCGATCCCGAGTCCTGTGCCATGGGTCCAGCACCTGCCCCAGCAGCCGCCGGAGTGCTCCCACATGTTCGTGCTTCCGCATGACCTCCAGGAAGAAGACCTTCACCTCCAGGTTGACCTCCCTCCACCAAAGTCCGCCTCGCAGCCTCCTGAACACCAGGACTCCAAAAGGGATTGATGTTGGGTGATCTACTTGGTGTCTGTCCCACTCCCTGTCCATAGTCCAAGGCTCGTGGATTCATCAAGCCGCTGCCATCACCAAACAGCCCTCCTCGAGCTCCCGGATCAATGCCAGGTCCAAGAGGCGCAAGTAGACCCTGCCCTTGAGGTTGTCCCGCTAGTGCTTGTTGAAGTGCATGATAAGTTCGTTGGACCGCATCATGAAGTGCCCCCAAACCCACCGTGGAACTGGTCGATGTTGAAGGTGCCCCAACCGGTTCGCTTGTTTTCACCGACTTCAGCGTTGCTGGCCCCACCTCTCCTCCATCTTCCAGTACCTTGAGATTGCCCTCCGAGGACCCAGTCACAGGCGGTCGAAAGGAGGTTGGTGGACCCCTAGGAGTGCTTCCCACATCCGATGCCCTCCTCGGCCCCGCATCCGCCGATCGCGACCTCCTCACCTCTTCTTCTATCAGCGCATCCAGGCGGCGATCCGCTTCGCCGATCACCACCGGCGCCGCCTCCGCAGCTGCCTTGTCGCTCGCTGCTCTTCTCCTTCTCATCGTCGTCGACGACATGGCAGGTCGCTTGGGCTCATAACCTGAGCGTGCGACACCAAAAGCTAAAAAAAGCTGCCGCACTTGTTTCTTGAGCCAAAATTCAGGTTGGGTTGGTTTCAGTGCTCATGACTGACGTGTCATCTTCCAAAAAAGGAAAGGGTGGAGCGGTGCTTAGGATTTCTCAGAATCAAAAGATGCATTTTGTAGTCCATCAAGAATGCTCACTAAGAACAAATAAGATGATGGTTCGTAGGCGGGTTGGTTGGACGATCTTAGACCCTAAACCCAATCCTCGCGTGTCCACCGGACACGCGCCAGGCGTAGGCTATGAGAAGTCCTCTGGGCAGTCCGCATTCTTGCCGGCGCAGGAGTGACCAAGTGAACCTGGAATCGGCCCAACTCACCGGGCAGTCAAAAAGGCCCACTTCAAGAGGAGCCACCTATGCACCCCCCGAAAGCTACTTGCGTGGGTCCTTGGAAGTTGGTCGAAGAAAGACGTGCAAGCGGGTCAGACTCTTCGAAAGGCTCCAGGGGATCGTTCCAAAGGACGACGCCTACAGAGTCCCCTCGGACCCTCAGATACACCAGGAGTTACCTGTGGGGATGGGACTGTGGAGACCCATCCAGAGTCCCCTCGTGTTTTTGGCCCAATCATGGGACTGTGAATGGATTGGAAGGACGCGACTTCCTCCCATTGAGCACATCTTTAGAACTGCCGGTATGGCTGATATGCATTTAAAAAAACACACATGTTTTCTTTTAATCAGGTGGTGCCAGTCCTTTTCCATCTCTCCTCATCAGTCCACCGCGCTCCCCTTTGAAACCGTCCCATCTCCAGGACGCGGCCAGTCGCATTGAAGCAGAGGCGGTGAGGCTTAGCAAGTGCGAAGCCTCTTCGGCCACTGGGTGGCACCGTCTATATGCCTCGCGCTCGTTTTACCGGCTTTGGAGGGCGGAGCAGACCCCTGGAACCACCTTCACTTGAGCCTCGCGAGGGGTAAGCCAAAAGGTCGCACTGAGCAAGTCTCGGTTCGTTGATCCTTTTGCGGAGATGATGTGGTTCAGTCAATGAGCTTGCTTCAGGAATCTTCAGCATGTTGGTATTGCTTCATAAAGTTGTGAGCACCGACGAAGGAAATGAAGTTGCCTCATTGCTGAATGAAAGCTGTGTGATGAAATCAATACCAGGCTTTGCTTGAGATGATACCTTTCTTCCCTATGGGTGAATCTCCCTTCCTGGTTCCTTAAGCAAATACAAGAATACATTTTGAGAAAAGAAGTCCAACCACTGTCAGTGTTCCTTTGCTAGCTGCTAGGGATCCAGTCGTACTTTCTCAGAAGCTGATTAGAGACACTGTAGGTTTGGAGGGTCCAAATACCTGAGAAGGTACGACTAGATCTCTACATCCTTGGTTGGGCTTCACCTAGGGCCCAGATGGAGCCTGGGAATCCCGTTGATAGATAGTATACCATTGGGACCTTATAGGCTTATAGGCCACGAGAACTTCAGTCAGACATGTTCGCCTGCTCTACACCCGCGGCATTTGCCACTCATCGCTCAGTGCTTTGGATGCCGAACGGTGTGCGCCTCCAGGAGGTCATCGAACGCTGGTTGGCACTCCTCCGCACCAACCAGCGGCGCTACACCGATGGTGACCGCCACGGCGATGGTGACCGGCGCGAGGCGCCACCGAGGCCGTTGTCCTTCAAGCAGGTGCGCAGCGTGCTGTTTTGTGATGGGCGGCGCGGACGCGTTCCTTGTTTTCTCAAGCAGGTGGGGGGTTGAAGATGGAGGTCGCGCAGGTGGTAGGTGGGTGCAACGAGCCACCCATGTGTTTGAAGCGCACGGAGCCATCGAGGGTTCTTTGTGATGGTGCATGATTGAGGTTTGGGCTTATAGCAAACTGATAGTGAGCAGGGCCCAGGGCCTTGGGCCACCGAAACGCACCCTAAATCCCTAGACCCTCACGTCTTGACTTTCTGGGTGCTGGGTCGGTCTGCTAATTAGGTTTATATTTCTCCACATGGCTCCACCGTCTGCCGACTGAAGGATGGAACATGTTCGGTTCCATTGTCCACTTTGGAGGGGTGACCTGGGTCTCAAATCCGGTCTTGAGGGACAAAGGGCTGCGAAAGGGCTGCGAACGCAGCGTTTGGGCATCAATGATCACAGATTATTCAATACATTCCTAAGATTGTAAGTTCACGAATCATTCACCACAAAACGTATTCTCCGTTTCGAAGATGGTTGGGGTGGGTTTGGGGGGTCTGTGCCCACCTTCTGAGGATATGGTTGGAGCCCCAGGGTCTATTGTTCTTGTTTTTACTTAATTACTGTTAGAATAACATATACATTACATTGACACTCCAGAGGCCCACTGGACCCCACATTGAGGCCTGGACCGAACCAAAAGATCCAGACGCACCACCTTATATAAACGTCTTTACATACCTGAGACTCTTAGACGCTGCTGTTCCATGAGGGCTAGCATGCCGTCCCATTCTCAGTAACGGCTGGTTTGGCATATTGGAGGGGCTCGCATGGTTTTGCCGTGTATCAAAAGGAACGCCTTCAACTCACTCGTTAATAAGGAAGCCTTCCTTCTGACCCGATTTGTACCAGGAACCACGAAATTCACGAAACCATACGAAACCCACTCACAGGAACCACTTGCCCGACGTCGCCACCCGCACTGTGCATCACTGTGCCGGCGCAGGTCTTCTTACGCTCCCGCGCTCTGGAGTTGGCGCTCGACACCTCCGCGCGCAGCGCCGAGCTGCGCCACGCGCTGCGGAGCTACGCGCTCACCACGCCCACGAGGCTCCGAAAGCGCTCGGGGCGGGGTCCCCCCCACCGGGCCGACGTTTTCTCGTTTGGGTCGGAGGTTAGTGTGTGTGACGGACGTAACTAGTAGAGTTAGTAGAGGTTTTTTGGGGGGGTGGAGGCAGGTGAATGTTTGTTCTTGCCACCCTGGGTGATTTCCCACGGAAGGGGTTTGGATGGGGGTTCCTATCTAAGTATCTAAGTGATAGATCGAACTGATCAAACCAACTCAGAGTGTCAGAGGGTAGTTTCACAGCGCAGAGTCCCCCAAAGACTTCAAGAGGTGACACTTACTCAGGCTTCCACATGTGATAATAAGTCTAACTAGGAGCTGCGCCTACTGTCACCAACGCCACCACTGTTTGCCAAAACAAAGATGAACAGTCTGGCCACGCTCGGTGTTCTTTTCGCGTCTTCCTTTGCACCCACAGTTTGCAGACGTCATGCACTGACGGTGTATGGAGGGGTCCCTTGTGCTTGGGTGATGCCACTTGGGTTGAGCCCAATATGACTACTGCAAGCATGTTCCTCCCAAGTAGAAGAGAGGCCTTACTGGAGGAAACCTGGTCAGAAATTTGTATGCTCAGACGCTCCTAGACCGGATCGGACCTAAATCCTCTGGTGGGGTGTGGATAAGAAATTTGTTCCAGATGGTAGGATTGTATAAGTCCTATAGGGATCCAACCATCTCCTCAGAAGGAGGTTAGACCCCCCAAAATTCCACCCGAAGCACCTTCGAAACGGAGGTAGGCCAGGAGCCCAGGGAAGATTCCAGATGGTTCAGTTCCCTAAAACCCTAAACCCTAAACCCTAAACCCTACACTGTCGTTTGATTGAGTTCCTCCGTCGCCAGATGGCCCGAAAGCTGCCCTCCACCCATGGCCTTCGCACGAGCGTGGCTGAGTTGGATTATGTGGGCGAACCGACGCGCCGGTCGACGCGCCGCGTAGCGCGTGGGTCATGATTTGATTCGGAAGACCCCAGACATGACTATTACTATCCATGTATGGAAGACGTTACACTATAGGAAGGTGGTAAAAAGGGGTAACTGTAATTACATCTTAACTGTTCCAGTCCCCGTGGATGGTCGGAGGATGACTCCAGCTACCCCTGCTTCATCTGCATCTCGGTCTTTAAGGTCAGTTCTTGACCTGTACGGGGCTGAAACGTCCTGTTGTTCAAAACATCAGAACACATGAGAGTGGTGGTAAGTTGATACAGGATTGACCAAGAACCTGGCTACCTGGTTTTGCTTGCAGGTGAGTTTGATGTGTTCCAAACTTCCGGGTCAATCCCCATTTAAGATCCCAGTTTCTGTATCATACTGTGTATATTGACCGGTATGTAAGATACATACTATACAGTGGTATACAGTATACTGTATATCTTCTTCACGGCATAGCGGCGGACCACGGCATGGCGGCTCTGAAAACCACGTGCTTTGCAGAAGACTGTTACATCAACCATCGGGTGTGCCCATTTGATGTCCACAGAGGGTCCCCTTGAAACCCGTTGGAGAAGAGTGGCTGTGACCCCCCGACCCAAAGGATCTTCATCGTCCGAAAAGCCCCCACACGCCCCCGTCAACCTAAACATCAAGGTCGGTCCATGTATCAATTCACATCCCTAAACCCTACAGCCTAAACCCTAAACGCACGCCCCCGTCCGACTCTGCAAACTTGCGCTCGGTGACTCCGAGGTTCGTAGCACTGCTGTGGGCCACGGTGGGATCGACGGCGCCTTGGGTGGTTGCACGTTTATGTTGGTTCCACGGAAGGGGAGGGTGGGCGTGCACGTAGTTGGGGGGCTCCCAAACCAATTTACCAAGAGAGGTTGAGAGACCATATAGGACCCTGTAGCAGTACATATGAGATGGGCGAAAAAGGGGTCCAACTGGGAGGTCTCCCGGCTTGAGCTACACACACGGGTGATGGCAGCCCCTTTGCTGGTTCATCATCGATATACATTCGGATTCTTGGCGCAGCATGGATCGAAAGGTTTTGACCAAAGAGCTGCTGCTTGACTAAGGCTAAGGATTCTACTCGTACACTGCAAAGCCAGGTCAACTTGTCTTTTGCTGGCTTTTCTATTGTAGGGCCTTTGTAGGGGGGGTGCTCCGTTCAAGATGCATGGATCGGGAGGGTTGGATGCCAATTCAGCTCGCGGCACATTCCTGGTCAGTTCAGCATGCGTGTCCGTAACGTCGTCAGGAGAGTCTCCTATACCATCCTATACCTGAAGCGGCTCTTGATGGTGTTTGATCATGACCGTCACGGTACCAGCTGTGACTTTGGCCCTGTCCAGGTACACCCAAGATAGCGTGCCCAGGCCAGTAGCCTGATTCGTTCATCTAGAGACACCCCCCCCGCCAACAAAATTTCCAAGTCTACCCATCCCCAAGAATCATTGGAACCCGACCACTTCTGGAGGGTCTTGACCCTGCTGTTCGCAGGGGCTTGGACCCGAAGCAAACCTTCATCTTTCAGGTTCCCTCGATTCTTATAGGGCATGTTTTTTTTCCCCGAGTTTTTGCCGTATACCACGGCCGCCACGCTTCTCAAGGAGATTTGGCTCCAGCTCCTCGGGACCTTGCTGAGTTCGGAACAGACGCCCCACGCGGGCCATGAAGCGGAGGAGCCGTGGATGGATCGGTCCGTGGGAGTGGAGTGGAGGGGGTGATGTGGGGTGAGGTGGGTGGAACTTGGAAGACCTGTTTTTGTTGAAGGAAGACATCCACAAAACCTGGACTGGAATGCGGCTGCGGTTGACCTGCCTAGAGAGATTCAGCATGCTGCATGCTTTACATGTCGAAATTACGCTTGAGTTTCTTGCTTGGGCCGCGGCGGTCCAAGTTTTAGTTTCTTGCGAGTTTTTTTTTTTCAAATTTGGTTGTTGGAGGGGGGACCAGTCTGATTTCTCCCTTGATCTCCCTTGATAGAATCTTCATTGAGCAGATATTGGTGCATGAAGCAACTCCATTTGGAGTACCTTTGGGAGTTCAGGGTTTGTGGACTATGGAAATGTTGCATTTGTCCAGCTACCATACTGGCCATTAACTCTTAACTTGTCTGGTATATTTGCCGCTGTTGGTTAAAGACATCGTTGGATGCCATCACCCACAAACTGTTTGTGGAGGCTAGAAGGAATATTCTCAAGGGAGAGGAAGAAAACGTTTCGGTTTCGCCTGAAAACCATTCCCCAAAACAAGAGAATGGCATGGCCCTTCTGATGCTTCTTAAGGGTTTGCTTTAGCAGATGCGAAAGGCGACCAACGAGGCGTTTTTCACTTTGATCGTTCAGCGAACGTGTCGTGCCCACCTCTTTCTCAGGAGCCTTGCCATACCTGGCTAGTGCAGCTCATAGCTGCACGACGGCAGAACTGGCAGGCGACTAATGTTGCTATGTGTCAAGGAACTGACTGTCCGTGAAGCTATGCAGTGTGGTGGCTTAGTCTCAATTGGATGATCAACAGCCAGACTTTCATGTTCCTTGTTAAAGTCGCATCGTACTCCTCTGTCAGATAGAGATCGAGCTTGGGAAGAGCTTCCAAGCAAAGTCGCATCAATATCCACATTCATTAGGGCAAGACACGATGTGCGAGGAAACTGCCGGTCATGACAGGTGATACTTCATGAAGTCGCTCATAATTTGTTCCATTGGAGAGAGGCGTTTCTCAGGTTGGTTTGAGAATCAAAGTAGAGACCTTCATTGGAAATGACCGAAGCGTTCATGGCAGTTCATGGGAGTCATGTCACCTTTCTCCCACAGCTCACTTCGGCCATCAGCTCACTTCGGCCGGAGGCGTCCGATGTGGTGGACCGGGAGACGGAGATCCTCACGTTGGAGCAGAAGGCCACCGAGGCCCTGGCGCTCACTGAGCCCCACGGTCAAGGCAGGAGAGCCACGGGAGAGGGCAGGAGAGCGGGTGGGTCGGCGGCGTGCCCCGTCTTGAACAGTGCGCTTGGCACGGTTCTCGGGCCAATGGACCTTCAGTTCAGTTCAGGCGCAACGATGGTGTAAACTGGTTGATGATGCTACGTAGCAAGAAAGTGGTTTGCAGTGGTTGATAACTTGGTTCAGCGTAATAGAAACAAAGTCTGCCAGTTGCTCAGAGGTTTCCAGCCGACCTTCCACACAGTGGAAATGGAGCGTGTGCCCACCAGAAACCAGCCATCCACAACAGGCTCACAAGACCTGCAAAGCTTGGATGTTGGTGCGCGCTAGTATCCCCTGAAACTCGGAGAAGACTACTCATCAATCAAAACTATAAAAAGAACACCTACCAGGGCCCCCGGGCCATCGGGGTGTCTAATTATAGCTCCTTAGAGGTATCCAGGGGTATCCATGAAAACCACCCCTATCCGGGGGCTTTGGTACTCGACCGGGTCTGTCCCCGGGACTCCCGGACGTCGCAGGCTTCGCCTCCAAGCTTCAGCAGCTGTCGCTGTTGAGCTCGGCGCCGTGGCATTCGTGGGAGGAGGGAGAAACCCAGGGGGGGTTGGTTTCTTATTCTTTAGGTGTCCAGTTTATGCAGGGCTGGGATGTGGTATGCTTACGCGAAGCATACCCTCTGAAAGCGCGACTACTTTAGTCTTCACCCTGTGCCCAGCATACCCCGAAGCATACCACCGAAGCATACCCCATAGTCAAACATCCAGGGAGCATGGCCCGGGAGCGTCAACAACAATACAAACCCAGGGGGGGTACTTTTCTTTGAGGGGACCTCCAGAAAGTATAAGTAAAAGATCATGACCACGGCAAGATGGACAAGCACCCCAAGATGCTCCGCCCTGTTGGATGGGAGGGTGAGGGTTTCTTTGTGAATCTATGTGGTTTAGTCGGAACTAATCGGCCTTGAAATTTCCTCCGAGCTGACCAAAATCCGAGATATCTAGTCACCCCTGGACCTGCATAGCACTCGTTGGAACTATCGCAGTCTAGGTGGACAGTTTGTTCTTGGTCATGGGAACTATGATTTGGAGGGTCCTTGTCCTTGTTGTTGTTGTTGTTGTTGTTGTTGTTGTTGTTGTTGTTGTTGTT